ATCCTACACATCCTATCAGTGCTACAACTGTTCCACTTATCCTACACATCCTATCAGTGCTACAACTGTTCCACTTATCCTACACCTCCTATCAGTGCTACAACTGTTCCACTTATCCTACACATCCTATCAGTTCTACAACTGTTCCACTTATCCTACACCTCCTATCAGTGCTACAACTGTTCCACTTATCCTACACGTCCTATCAGTGCTACAACTGTTCCACTTATCCTACACATCCTATCAGTGTGCTACAACTGTTCAGTACACACATCAGTGCTACAACTGTTCCTATAACAGTGCTACAACTGTTCCACTTATCCTACATCTCCTATCAGTGCTACAACTGTTCCACTTATCCTACACATCCTATCAGTGCTACAACTGTTCCACTTATCCTACACAGTGCTACAACTGTTCCACTTATCCTACACGTCCTATCAGTGCTACAACTGTTCCACTTATCCTACACGTCCTATCAGTGCTACAACTGTTCCACTTATCCTACACATCCTATCAGTGCTACAACTGTTCCACTTATCCTACACATCCTATCAGTGCTACAACTGTTCCACTTATCCTACACGTCCTATCAGTGCTACAACTGTTCCACTTATCCTACACGTCCTATCAGTGCTACAACTGTTCCACTTATCCTACACGTCCTATCAGTGCTACAACTGTTCCACTTATCCTACACGTCCTATCAGTGCTACAACTGTTCCACTTATCCTACACGTTCTATCATTGCTACAACTGTTCCACTTATCCTACACATCCTATCAGAGCTACAATTGTTCCACTTATCCTACATGTCCTATCAGTGCTACAACTGTTCCACTTATCCTACACCTCCTATCAGTGCTACAACTGTTCCACTATCAATGCTACAACTGTTCCACTTATCCTACATGTCCTATCAGTGCTACAACTGTTCCACTTATCCTACACATCCTATCAGTGCTACAACTGTTCCACTTATCCTACACGTCCTATCAGTGCTACAACTGTTCCACTTATCCTACACCTCCTATCAGTGCTACAACTGTTCCACTTATCCTACATGTCCTATCAGTGCTACAACTGTTCTACTTATACTACACATCCTATCAGTGCTACAACTGTTCCACTTATCCTACACCTCCTATCAGTGCTACAACTGTTCCACTTATCCTACATGTCCTATCAGTGCTACAACTGTTCCACTTATCCTACATGTCCTATCAGTGCTACAACTGTTCCACTTATCCTATCAGTGCTACAACTGTTCCACTTATCCTACACACTCCACTTATCCTACACGTTCTATATCCATGTCCTATCTGTGCTACACCTCCTATCAGTGCTACAACTGTTCCACTTATCCTACACGTTCTATCATTGCTACAACTGTTCCACTTATCCTACATGTCCTATCAGTGCTACAACTGTTCCACTTATCCTACACATCCTATCAGTGCTACAACTGTTCCACTTATCCTACATGTCCTATCAGTGCTACAACTGTTCCACTTATCCTACACATCCTATCAGTGCTACAATTGTTCCACTTATCCTACATGTCCTATCAGTGCTACAACTGTTCCACTTATCCTACATGTCCTATCAGTGCTACAACTGTTCCACTTATCCTACATGTCCTATCAGTGCTACAACTGTTCCACTTATCCTACATGTCCTATCAGTGCTACAACTGTTCCACTTATCCTACACGTCCTATCAGTGCTACAACTGTTCCACTTATCCTACATGTCCTATCAGTGCTACAACTGTTCCACTTATCCTACACGTCCTATCAGTGCTACAACTGTTCCACTTATCCTACACGTTCTATCATTGCTACAACTGTTCTACTTATCCTACACGTCCTATCAGTACTACAACTGTTCCACTTATCCTACACGTCCTATCAGTTTACATTAAGTCCAGTAAACTCTCTACTATTATATGATTTATTTAACTGCAACTTCATTTGAGAGAATTTTAAATATCTATGACCATCATCTGAATTATCTTTGAATTTATTAAAGGTCATGACCTCTTAATGTGATTACAATGTCAGTAATTCAGGTGTCGATAAAGATCATGAACTGTCTATTTGAGATATATCGAAAATGTCATGTGAATTAACATTGACCTATTTAAGGTGTGTAAAATGTCATGTAACCTACATTATATGTAACTCTGACTTTTTAAATTATTTCTCAAATGATTTCAAATATATTTCAGGGTCATGACCCCATATCACCTTTTCCTGTAATCCACAGGTGATGTGAAGTGTGTAGCCCCCTATGAAGTACATTATATATTCTGACATTATTTGTATTGTAATTACAAAACACTCTAAAGTCCTGTTATCAGTCAGGGTCATTGGTGCTTTGTCTAACCCAACACTGCTATAAACTGTATATATAGTACAATAAAACAAGTTATAAGAACTTCAATTACCTTGTAATTATTCATGCTCACCTGTATATAAGTTTGTGAAGGGTCTTACAAGTCAAGGAAATCAAACTACTGGAGGAAAATCACATGATGTAGCAGGTGACACTGGACTTTTTTTAGTTCTGATTTAAGAATTAAACCTGATTGCTCATTCTCAATTCTCTTTCTCTTTTATTCCCTTCCTGTTCTCTACTCTCTTCCTCTGTATTCACTTCCTGTTCTCTACTCTCTTTCCCCTGTATTCAGTTCCTGTTCTCTACTCTCTTTCCTCTGTATTCCCTTCCTGTTCCCTTCCTGTTCTCTACTCTCTTTCCTCTGTATTCACTTCCTGTTCTTCTCTCTTTCTCTGTATTACTTCTCTTTCTCTCTGTATTCCCTTCCTGTTCTCTACTCTCTTTCCTCTGTGTTCACTCTCTTTCCTGTATTCACTTCTGTTCTCTTGTAATTCTCTTTCCTCTGTATTCCCTTCCTGTTCTCTACTCTCTTTCCTCTGTATTCCCTTCCTGTTCTCTACTCTCTTTCCTCTGTATTCACTTCCTGTTCTCTACTCTCTTTCCTCTGTATTCCCTTCCTGTTCTCTACTCTCTTTCCTCTGTATTCACTTCCTGTTCTCTACTCTCTTTCCTCTGTATTCCCTTCCTGTTCTCTACTCTCTTTCCCCTGTATTCACTTCCTGTTCTCTTCTCTCTTTCCTCTGTATTCACTTCCTGTTCTCAATTCTCTTTCTCCTTTATTCCCTTCCTGTTCTCTACTCTCTTTCCTCTGTATTCACTTCCTGTTCTCTACTCTCTTTCCCCTGTATTCACTTCCTGTTCTCTACTCTCTTTCCTCTGTATTCACTTCCTGTTCTCTACTCTCTTTCCTCTGTATTCACTTCCTGTTCTCTACTCTCTTTCCCCTTTATTCACTTCCTGTTCTCTACTCTCTTTCCTCTGTATTCCCTTCCTGTTCTCTACTCTCTTTCCTCTGTATTCACTTCCTGTTCTCTACTCTCTTTCCTCTGTATTCACTTCCTGTTCTCTACTCTCTTTCCCCTTTATTCACTTCCTGTTCTCTACTCTCTTTCCTCTTTATTCACTCTGTGTTCTCTACTCTCTTTCCACTGTATTCACTTCCTGTTCTCTACTCTCTTTCCTCTGTATCCATATCCTGTTCTCTACTCTATTTCCCATTTATTCACTTCCTGTTCTCTACTCTCTTTCCTCTGTATTCAGTTCCTGTTCTCTGCTCTCTTTCCTCGTTATTCACTTCCTGTTCTCTACTCTCTTTCCCCTGTATTCACTTCCTGTTCTCTACTCTCTTTCCTCTGTATTCACTTCCTGTTCTCTACTCTCTTTCCTCTGTATTCACTTCCTGTTCTCTTCTCTCTTTCCTCTGTATTCACTTCCTGTTCTCTTCTCTCTTTCCTCTGTATTCACTTCCTGTTCTCTACTCCCTTTCCTCTGTATTTCTTCTCTCTTTCCTCTGTATTCACTTCCTGTTCTCTTCTCTTTCCCCTGTTTCCTTCCTGTATTCTGTAACTTCCTGTTCTCTACTCTCTTTCTGTATTCACTTCTCTTTCTCTCTATTCCCTTTTTCTACTCTCCTGTATTCACTTCCTGTTCTCTACTCTCTTTCCTCTGTATTCACTTCCTGTTCTCTACTCCCTTTCCTCTTTGTTCTCTTTGTTTTAAGTTAATTAAATCAGTTGGGAAGTTTTTTACAAAGACAATTTACACAAATGTTTCCTTTGTATTCAAAAGTGATGAAGTGTGACCTTTGACCTTGAAACTTGCCAAAGGGCCATCAAAGCTCATAGGGCAGTTACTATCATACTATGGCACAGAAGTAAGTGTAGGGTTTACAAGGTAAATAGTACAAAGGGTTTTTATTATCAAAATAGTATCAACAATAAACTTTGATACTTTAATTTTAAAATTAACAAACTGCTATCCGATTATAACGAGGCGTAAAACTGGATGTTACAAACAACTAGTTATCAGATTATAACGAGGTGTAAAACTGGATGTTACAAACAACTAGTTATCAGATTATAACGAGGTGTAAAACTGGATGTTACAAACAACTAGTTATCAGATTATAACGAGGTGTAAAACTGAATGTTACAATCTGGAGATGTACAGGTCACACAAAGTGACGTTAATCAGATGTAGTATATGACTAGACATGATCTCTGTACTGAAGCAAAGGAATAAAAATTAGTTAAAACCAGTATGTGTGCAGGATGTGCACAATCTACAGAAAGCTGTGAAAGGTTAGACAAAGCACCAAACCTGACGCCACCCATGTTAAGTCAGAAAATATATTTATTCAAAATGTTTGAAACTTACATCAGAAAGGAAGTTATCTTCAATCTCCTGTACAATAATATTGATGTAGAAGGAAATGTACACGGCTGATATCACTGAATTAGGATTCTGTGAAGATGAATTTTCCTGTAATTTCTAATTCAATGTATTTTATTTTTCTTTATGTGATTCATCATGTACAGGTTTTAAAAATAACTTCCTATTATGATAGAGAAATCACAACAGATTTACACTACAATGTCTTACTTATGCAGGCACAGAATTTTTTAGAGTTTATATCAGCATTAAGTATAGGCTTGACGAGACAGGACTTGCTGCTTGCTGCTTTATCGTACTCCAGGGGGCGCCAATCATGTCCTGAAAGGTCAAAAGGTCATAGTCCTCCTGTCAGTAGTGTTCTCAGTGACACTAAACATTATCATAAATTAGCATAATTCTCTTATAGGGTTTCCTAGTCAAATTTACCACAATGTATCACCATATTGTTGTTCTCAGGCTTACAATAGATGAATTTATCAAATCTTGTAAACTTACCAGATCAGAGCTCCTTCTTAGGGTGTGTATGATATAGCTACACAAAAAAGCTATCGCATCACCAAAATATAGAATTGAGTTCCTCAATATTCTGCATTGCAGCATTTGTTAATCCTTAATATGATGAATTTATTGCTCAATGAGAAATATATTGTAAACTGAAAAGTAAAGGAAATGAAGAAAATAATCAGAGACCTGGCCCGGGGATCATGAAACAATCATAAACTTGAGTTTTGTTTTTTCATGACATCATTCATGATCTGCCATGTCAAAACTTAAGACAGTTTTGTCTATATAAAAGATCATTTCATGATCCTGGGCCTGGACCTGTTGAATTGTTACTTCCATGTTTTGACATAAAAAAACACTCTTAACAATATTTAAATGTATCGATTATGAATATCTATCAAGTTCAAAAAAGAAATTTTGTTGCAAATTTTTTATCTACATTTAAAGGGATATTCTTCACAAGTTGGCTAATTTCTGGCTATTTTTAGAACTGTTTACAAATCTTTCTACGGACTTTAAAAACTATTGTTTGCATCAAAATATCTTTCCTTAGGTCAGTTTGGGCAGGTGAAATTTTTGGAACTAACCCTGCTTACATAAAATTAGACTAATTATACTGTGTTAGGGAATATGGAACTCCGTCACCAATTGGATTATAGATTTTATGAAAAGTTTCAGGTAAATACACCTGTCTGTGCTGTTTATTTATAATTTCTGCTGGTATTGTAATTCTATTCCTCTGTTTTTCTTATTTCTTGTCAATTTTAAGATACACACAAATATTTCAAGACTGTTAGGCTAATAAAAAATACATCGGTTGTGTGTCAATCATGGTCAAGCTTATGTTTGTAAATCAATCTCTCTAGATCTATATAGAATTTCTTTGATGTTGTATGTTTTATATGGTGAGGCGTACAATTTCTATGAAAACATAAATAGATCCTTTTGTGATTTATTGATAAAAACATGATATGAAATCCCAACATGTGCAGAATATCCCCTTCAGCATATCTGAAAATTATAAAAAGATGTCAAATTATAAAACACAACGCATCATAGAAACCAATGTATGTAGATCCAATGGTTACCAAATTGAAATCCCTGTCAAAATAGTCATGTGTTCAACAAAAGAATATACTACATATCATTACACTGAAGGAAACAAGAGGCAAAAAAAGGAGAAGTCTTGTTGCTTCCTACTAACTTGACAATGTAATGAGAATTTTTCTGCTAAGTTGCCGTTATCATTTAAAAATTGAGGATGACATTTTTTCAAGAAGAGTATGTAACCCTAAGAAGACTCTACCAACTTGGTGAAGGATGATATCTGATTATATCAATCACTACAGTGTTTGCCTCACATGACAGAGTGTGTTAGCAATGTATCGAGCAGAAGGATTGGCTACATAATGATTTCTATTGATGCACAGGTGAACTAGATGGTAATCCTGTGTCATTGTGTAGAAAATTCACTATTCCATATCAATATTTGCTTTGTGTAAATGAAGATGCACAATTCTTTCAAACCTACAGGTAAAACATGAAAAACGATCGATCTTGTACCTCTTGAAAAATTGTCACACCATTTTTAACTTTAACAAATTATCAATGGTTTGAAAAATGTAGGCCCAAATATTGCTGAAGTGAGATTTCTTATTGTATCAAAATGCATAGATATGGAAACATAACAATGGACGCCGTTAAAAAAAAGTGAAAAAAAAAGCCAAAACTTTTTGTACAGGTTATGAAGATATAGTTTACCATGTTTCATGATTCAATTAAAGACCTAACAACTCATCAAAAAATTGTCAATCAAATATGTTACAGAGAAAAAGAGGACAAAGTGTGACAAAAGAGTAAAAATATTTTCAAAACAAAGAGCAGTGACTTTTCCAATGGAGTTTCCATGAAATAGGTTCGAAATTGTTTTAGGACTGAGACAATCCAACAACAGCAGAAGTCCTAACGAAAGTTTTTGGCAAAAGGCAGCTTACTCTGAAATTTGAGTTCTTAAACATTATTATCCAACTCTTTTAACATACAAGAACAGATACATGTAAGGAGCCATAGCTTGTGTCATTTGTATTTTAACAAAAACTGGGAACAAACAAGTAATAAAATAGCTTTTGAATGTATTACAAATCCCACTTGATAATAATAGTGTGAAAAGTTGAAGGCAGTTTGGAGCAAGAGTGTTCAAATTTAAGTTTGAGGAGTATCTAATTCTTCTGAGATTAAGGTTAGCAGTTCTACTGGTGATCCAGATAAAATCATGTTGTCTGCAAACAAATTTCATTTAAATCAAAGCACAAGAGGAACAAAATGGAAACAGATCACAGGTGTAACTTTTTTGATAAGAAATCTGTCAGAATGTTGTATTCCTGTCTCACCAAACTCCTACACAGTCCAGCATAACTTTCATATTACCAAACCAGAACACAACTTGTATCCTCCTAACAATTAGGTATTTCCCTGCTTCTTTCTCCATAAAATATACATTAAAAGTATTCATTAAAAAATATTATAAACATTTACAATCTACTGTCAGAGACAGAAGTTTTAGAAATGGAATATGTTAATTTGGGCATCAAAAAAATAATGAATTTGTAAATAAATATAGCGGAAGTCAACTTCTTTTCTGATTTATTTGAAAGTGCAAGATAACAAAAGACAAGAAAGACCAGTACATTGTAGATACTACAAAACCCTCTCCACCTTCCTATACATCTGATCTTTTATCACAGACATATCAAACCAAACCTATATATATAAATATACACACAGGCAATTCCTGTCATCAGATGCAGCCAAACCTACAACATATACATACATGTAAACTGATGCAGCTGAATACAACACATACAATTACAGTTAAACCTTGTTTACTTCACAAATGTTCTTCCCTGTAACACAGAGAAAAATCTTAATTTGGATACCTTCTGTATCCAGTTATCTGATGTTGTGGTGATGAAGCCATCAATTTTTAGATAACAAGGTTAGACTGTATAATGTTAAAGAACTTTAGTTAGTGATGCTGACAGTAAAATGTTACAAACCTGTAGTCATGTTAGGACTCCACTCTTGTTCCCCTGTGGGACCCCACACCCATGACCTCTGACCTTCCCTGGACGAGGGGTTATTCAGTGGCAGTTTATCTGAAACAGCAACATTTTAAAATTTTACTGTAAACACTAAAAAGTCCATCCCATCATATATACTTTTTCTCCACATATATTCTATGCTTTGATAGCATGTACAATTTCTAAATTCAAATGTCTAGGTTTGATTCTAAATTTCAGAAGTAGGACACTTAAGTAAAGAATAGCAAAACAGTTAAAATAATTATCTTAATACTATATTGTAGTTAAATCAGTAATCTAATGACCGTTTTGTCTTAATCTGACCGTTTTGTCTTGTCTTAATCTGACCGTTTTGTCTTAATCTGACAGTTTTGTCTTAATCTGACAGTTTTATCTTAATCTGACCGTTTTGTCTTGTCTTAATCTGACCGTTTTGTCTTGTCTTAATCTGACCGTTTTGTCTTAATCTGACAGTTTTGTCTTAATCTGACAGTTTTATCTTTAGATTTTACTCTTTTTGGTAACTATATGTACACTTTTGTCTTTCCCTATGTCATATTTAAATGGATGAAACCACATCCCCAGTGTTTTGCTTTAACCAATCACCTCTGATTGTGAATAATTAGTATCAAGACAATTATTTCATCAAATTATCATTCAAAATTGTGTAATTTAGGTTTTACACAAGTAAAGGTACATTGTATGTAGCAAATTTCTATTGATAATAATCAGAATCAGTCAGTCAAAAGGATTTCAGGACAAAAGCTTATTTGTGTCTAACAGTTTAATCCACTACAATATTATCTATACTACAGATTATTACTGTGAACATCATATCACATGGATAATTAAGATTTGATCTTAATGTAGTCTGTCATGTCATGTTAGATGAATTGACTATATCATTGTATTTTTTCATTTTGAAAATATTAACTCACAAGAGGCTGTGTGGGTTGCATAGTACTCAATACTATTCACAAATACTTTTGCTTGCATTCAAAGTCTTGAGATGAAGTTGTTTGAAGGTTTTGACAAATGTTATCCTTTGTAGCCTCAAATATGGGGAAAGGTAATTTTTTGTAAACTTCATGAGGGAACCCGATCATTATCATAGACTTAAAATTTCTTACTTGTCACCAGTCAATGATCAGAATTCTCATTCCATTCTGGTAACACTGACTGTACCCACATGTTTTACACTCACTTAACTACATGCTCTCTAGCTGAGCTGACTTACTGTAGTCCTGCAAGAAGGAAGTGTTGGATCCCAGTGAAGAGCTAACAGCTTGCTGGGATGTATTTAAGGCTGCATACCCAACTGATCCAACCATTGATGTCTGGTCTGAACTATTAACAGAGAATAAGATCCAAGAATCATAGAACATTTATTTCTTTTTTCTTGTTTATAAATAATAACATCCAAATTATCGTCACCTCTTTCCAATCAACAATGCCTTTATCATTAATCTTCATCCATCTTTGTACCTGGTGTTCTATCCCTGACCCCTTGTCTACTGTTCTCTTTCCTCTGACCCTGTACCTGGTGTTCTATCCCTGACCCCTTGTCTACTGTTCTCTTTCCTCTGACCCTGTACCTTGTGTTTTATCCCTGAACCCTTGTCTACTGTTCTCTTTCCTCTCACCCTGTACCTAGTGTTCTATCCTGACCCCTTGTCTACTGTTCTCTTTCCTCTGACCCTGTACCTGGTGTTCTATGCCTGACCCTCTACCTAGTGTTCTATCCCTGACCCCTTGTCTACTGTTCTCTTTCCTCTGACCCTGTACCTGGTGTTCTATCCCTGACCCCTTGTCTACTGTTCTCTTTCCTCTCAAACTGTACCTTGTATTTTATCCCTGAACCCTTGTCTACTGTTCTCTTTCCTCTCACCCTGTACCTGGTGTTCTATCCCTGACCCCTTGTCTACTGTTCTCTTTCTCCTGACCCTGTACCTGGTGTTCTATCCCTGACCCCTTTTCTACTGTTCTCTTTCCTCTGACCCTGTACCTAGTGTTCTATCCCTGACCCCTTGTCTACTGTTCTCTTTCCTCTGACCCTGTACCTGGTGTTCTATCCCTGACCCCTTGTCTACTGTTCTCTTTCTCCTGACCCTGTACCTAGTGTTCTATCCCTGACCCCTTGTCTACTGTTCTCTTTCCTCTGACCCTGTATCTGGTGTTCTATGCCTGACCCTTTTCTACTGTTCTCTTTCCTCTGACCCTGTACCTGGTGTTCTATCCCTGACCCCTTGTCTACTGTTCTCTTTCCTCTGACCCTGTACCTGGTGTTCTATCCCTGACCCCTTATCTACTGTTCTCTTTCCTCTGACCCTGTACCTGGTGTTCTATGCCTGACCCTGTACCTAGTGTTCTATCCCTGAACCCTTGTCTACTGTTCTCTTTCCTCTGATCCTGTACCTAGTGTTCTATCCCTGACCCCTTGTCTACTGTTCTCTTTCCTCTGACCCTGTACCTGGTGTTCTATCCCTGACCCCTTGTCTACTGTTCTCTTTCTCCTGACCCTGTACCTGGTGTTCTATCCCTGACCCCTTGTCTACTGTTCTCTTTCTCCTGACCCTGTACCTGGTGTTCTATGCCTGACCCTGTACCTGGTGTTCTATCCCTGACCCCTTGTCTACTGTTTTCTTTCCTCTGACCCTGTACCTAGTGTTCTATCCTGACCACTTGTCTACTGTTCTCTTTCCTCTGACCCTGTACCTGGTGTTCTATTCCTGACCCCTTTGTCACGCACACCTGTATGTTTAAATGTGCATTGTTATTGAGTTGGTCACGTGAGCGGGTATGCGAGTGTTAGCGGAACAGTCAACATTGACTGTCCAGGTGACCAACACGCCTTTGTTCTGTTTTCGTTACCTGTTTGCCGATTTTATGGCGTGAGTGACTTTGTTTAGTCGTGGAAATGAAGCCCAGACATCTGACTGGGGTAAGTATTCTGTCTTTCTTTCGTAATATGCTGTTTTATGTGGTTGTTTATCGCCATATTTACGATGTCCTTCTTATAGGTCAAGCTATCTATTGTCGGTGCGTGTTCGTTCATGCGTAGCTTTCAGTGTTTACGATGCATGTTTATTTTCTAGGATTTAACGTTGAATTAGGCTGGATACATTTGAAAATTGTTATTGTACATCTAGAGTGGCTATTTTGTCAGTTATTTAGTCGTTGTAAAACCGTAAAGTACACGTAGAAATGTGGTTACGTTCGTGTTAAAAAAAGTATGGAAGCCGTGAGTGGAAGTCGTGTGCGCATGAACCGGTGTGAGAGCGTCACGGTATAAATTCTATAGAAGGCCGTTAGCGTCGTGTACAGTAAAAACCCATGTAATGTCCGCACTTTTTTTCACCGAAAATCAATCCAAAAAAGGGGGTTCGGACATTACAGAGATATAGAGGAAATGACACTTTTTTCCTTCCGACAATTCATATCATATCTCCTTGAGTTGTGTTCTTAAAAGCCAAGCATACCTGATATTATCGTTCTATGGTTTTTTCTATGATGTTTCCTCAACCAAACATGATTATTTATGATTATTTATTATAGTTTCCATGGTTAATTCCTTCCAATTTCTCGTTACAGGTTCGTATTGTGTCGTCCTTCGTAATAGGAAGCCATTTTGTTTGACTTTGTCACATGAATAAAGTCAGAGTTATTCCCCTTTCCCCATTGAAAAAGCATACCCATGAGCATATACAAAATAACACAACATTTTCATTCTACATTTTATTTACAAAATAACAATAAATAACATGTACAAGAATATTACATAAAATAAATAATCAGACGTTTTATTGATTATGGATCGTTTATCAGAAAGTCTTAATACATAGCAGGCCGGTTTAATAGCATTTCTCGAAACCCCAGAAGTCGTCGTCGTCACTGTGGAAGAACTCCTCGGCGTTGAAGTTGTCTTCCTCTGTCTGGTCGTTGTAATAAATGGCGTTCTCGTCGTCTGATGGTGTGTCAGTAGGGTCAGTGGTGCCGTGGGTCATGGGCGGGTCATGTTACTGTATAGTTATCGTTAATTGGCTAATCACACGCTGTCACTCACTCACACTTGAGGTGAGGAGACGACCCAAGCTGTTTATAACACTGCTGGGCTAACCCTTATCAAAACACCAATTATCGAAATGAGGACTTGTCATACTGGTAAGCTTACTGTACCATTATGGAGAATAACTGTTGTTATAAACAATTAAGTGAATTCTTGAATGGTACCTGTAAGTTATACACAATGCGACATGCTCTCGGCCATTACGACATTAGCGTACGTGAAATGAAATTGGCAGCTTCAATTTGCATTTTTTACCCGTGGACATTACATGGAAGGTGGGTTTTTTCCCCAGATTTTTGTGTCAAAAAAGGGGTGCGGACATTACACAGATGCGGACATTACGTGGGTTTTTACGGTATGTTTCGCATAACGATATGGTTGTTTTGTTGAATTTTGATATTGTGTATTTTATCACGCACCGTAGAATTGTAAAATGTAGTCGTGTATTCCCATTGTATTACACAAACAAATAATAGAGTATTGATTATAAATAATGTTAATTTACTCGTTAGTTGTAAGAAACTTTGTGAGTTATATGTAATTGTAGTCATGGGTGGAAGGATGAACGTTTAGTGGTCTTTTGCTTTTGTTTTAAGCTTCACATGATGGGTAAATCACCATAGAGCCTACAGAAGGTCAGCACCGCTGGAGCGCCAGGTCTTCGCCGTGCAGTAACGGGACCGACCAACGTTACATCTCAGTTACTCAGGGTCTAGGTCAACTGCAAAGAAGGATTGTCTCCAGGGACAGGCTGTCATGTAGCGACTCGGCTGTAATATGTAAGCTAGTCACCGCCCTATCAGTGAGGGAGTTTTCAGGATACGGTTGCTTTGTCAGCAATTCGTCTTGGTGTTGGGAACTGAGCGAGTCGTTCCTTTACAACTCGGACTTTGTCAGTCCACGGAAGCTGTTTTGCGTGCACCCTCCGTGTGCACTATTCGACACATTGGAGATGTTGATTGTGAGACCACCTTGTACCTTGTCTGTGAAGAGACTGTAGCCATCTTTACTGTTAAAGTGTATGAATGGAGAGTGATTGTGAGTGTGACTGGGTGTCTGTAGTTTTCATGTTCTCTATGTTAATAAATTTGTGTATATGTTCTTTTGTTGCATTCTTGTGTTGATTTCCTGATATACTGCACAGAGGCCCGTCCCACGTTACACCCTTGTCTACTGTTCTCTTTCCTCTGACCCTGTACCTGGTGTTCTATCCCTGACCCCTTGTCTACTGTTCTCTTTCCTCTGACCCTGTACCTGGTGTTCTATCCCTGACCCCTTGTCTACTGTTCTCTTTCCTCTGACCCTGTACCTGGAGTTCTATGCCTGACCCTGTACCTAGTGTTCTATCCCTGAACCCTTGTCTACTGTTTTCTTTCCTCTGACCCTGTACCTTGTGTTTTATCCCTGAACCCTTGTCTACTGTTCTCTTTCCTCTCACCCTGTATCAGGTGTTCTATCCCTGACCTTTTGTCTACTGCTCTCTTTCCTCTGACCCTGTACCTGGTGTTCTATCCCTGACCCCTTGTCTACTGTTCTCTTTCTCCTGACCCTGTACCTGGTGTTCTATCCCTGACCCCTTGTCTACTGTTCTCTTTCCTCAAACCCTGTATCTGGTTGTTCTATCCCTGACCCCTTTTCTACTGCTCTCTTTCCTATGACCCTGTACCTGGTGTTCTATCCCTGACCCCTTGTCTACTGTTCTCTTTCTCCTGACCCTGTACCTGGTGTTCTATCCCTGACCCCTTGTCTACTGTTCTCTTTCCTCTGACCCTGTATCTGGTTGTTCTATCCCTGACCCCTTTTCTACTGTTCTCTTTCCTCTGACCCTGTACCTAGTGTTCTATCCCTGACCCCTTGTCTACTGTTCTCTTTCCTCTGACCCTGTACCTAGTGTTCTATCCTGACCCCTTGTCTACTGTTCTCTTTCCTCTGACCCTGTACCTGGTGTTCTATCCCTGACCCCTTGTCTACTGTTCTCTTTCCTCTGAACCTGTACCTGGTGTTCTATGCCTGACCCTGTACCTAGTGTTCTATCCCTGACCCCTTGTCTACTGTTCTCTTTCCTCTGATCCTGTACCTGGTGTTCTATCCCTGACCTCTTGCCTACTATTCTCTTTCCTCTGACCCTGTACCTTGTGTTCTATCCCTGAACCCTTGTCTACTGTTCTCTTTCCTCTGACCCTGTATCTGGTGTTCTATCCCTACCTCTTGTCTACTGTTCTCTTTCCTCTGACCCTGTACCTGGTGTTCTATCCCTGAACCCTTGTTTACTGTTCTCTTTCCTCTGACCCTGTACCTGGTGTTCTATCCCTGACCCCTTGTCTACTGTTCTCTTTCCTCTGACCCTGTACCTGGTGTTCTATCCCTGACCCCTTTTCTACTGTTCTCTTTCCTCTGACCCTGTACCTGGTGTTCTATCCCTGAACCCTCGTCTACTGTTCTCTTTCCTCTGACCCTGTACCTGGTGTTCTATCCCTGACCCCTTGTCTACTGTTCTCTTTCCTCTGACCCTGTACCTGGTGATCTATCCCTGACCCCTTGTCTACTTTTCTCTTTCTCCTGACCCTGTACCTGGTGTTCTATGCCTGACCCTGTACCTAGTGTTCTATCCCTGACCCCTTGTCTACTGTTCTCTCTCCTCTCACCCTGTACCTAGTGTTCTATCCCTGACCCCTTGTCTACTGTTCTCTTTCCTCTCACCCTGTACTTAGTGTTCTATCCTGACCCTTTGTCTACTGTTCTCTTTCCTCTGACCCTGTACCTGGTGTTCTATGCCTGACCCTGTACCTAGTGTTCTATCCTTGACCCCTTGTCTACTGTTCTCTTTCCTCAAACCCTGTACCTGGTGTTCTATCCCTGACCCCTTGTCTACTGTTCTCTTTCCTCTGACCCTGTATCTAGTTGTTCTATCCCTGATCCCTTTTCTACTGCTCTCTTTCCTCTGACCCTGTACCTGGTGTTCTATCCCTGACCCCTTGTCAACTGTTCTCTTTCTCCTGACCCTGTACCTGGTGTTCTATCCCTGACCCCTTGTCTACTGTTCTCTTTCCTCTGACCCTGTATCTGGTTGTTCTATCCCTGACCCCTTTTCTACTGTTCTCTTTCCTCTGACCCTGTACCTAGTGTTCTATCCTGACCCCTTGTCTACTGTTCTCTTTCCTCTGACCCTGTACCTGGTGTTCTATCCCTGACCCCTTGTCTACTGTTCTCTTTCCTCTGACCCTGTACCTGGTGTTCTATGCCTGACCCTGTACCTAGTGTTCTATCCCTGAACCCTTGTCTACTGTTCTCTTTCCTCTGATCCTGTACCTGGTGTTCTATCCCTGACCTCTTGCCTACTATTCTCTTTCCTCTGACCCTGTACCTTGTGTTCTATCCCTGAACCCTTGTCTACTGTTCTCTTTCCTCTGACCCTGTATCTGGTGTTCTATCCTGGAACCCTTGTCTACTGTTCTCTTTCCTCTGACCCTGTACCTGGTGTTCTATCCCTGAACCCTTGTTTACTGTTCTCTTTCCTCTGACCCTGTACCTGGTGTTCTATCCCTGACCCCTTGTCTACTGTTCTCTTTCCTCTGACCCTGTACCTGGTGTTCTATCCCTGACCCCTTTTCTACTGTTCTCTTTCCTCTCACCCTGTACCTGGTGTTCTATCCCTGAACCCTCGTCTACTGTTCTCTTTCCTCTGACCCTGTACCTGGTGTTCTATCCCTGACCCCTTGTCTATTGTTCTCTTTCCTCTGACCCTGTACCTAGTGTTCTATCCCTGACCCCTTGTCTACTGTTCTCTTTCCTCTCACCCTGTACCTCGTGTTCTATCCCTGACCCCTTGTCTACTGTTCTCTTTCCTCTGACCCTGTACCTGGTGTTCTATCCTGGAACCCTTGTCTACTGTTCTCTTTCCTCTCACCCTGTACCTAGTGTTCTATCCCTGACCCCTTGTCTACTGTTCTCTTTCCTCTGACCCTGTACCTGGTGATCTATCCCTGACCCCTTGTCTACTGTTTTCTTTCCTCTGACCCTGTACCTGGTGTTCTATGCCTGACCCTGTACCTGGTGTTCTATCCCTGTTCCCTTGTCTACTTTTCTCTTTCTCCTGACCCTGTACCTGGTGTTCTATCCCTGACCCTGTACCTAGTGTTCTATCCCTGACCCCTTGTCTACTGTTCTCTCTCCTCTCACCCTGTACCTAGTGTTCTATCCCTGACCCCTTGTCTACTGTTCTCTTTCCTCTCACCCTGTACTTAGTGTTCTATCCTGACCCTTTGTCTACTGTTCTCTTTCCTCTCACCCTGTACCTGGTGTTCTATGCCTGACCCTGTACCTAGTGTTCTATCCTTGACCCCTTGTCTACTGTTCTCTTTCCTCAAACCCTGTACCTGGTGTTCTATCCCTGACCCCTTGTCTACTGTTCTCTTTCCTCTCACCCTGTACCTAGTGTTCTATCCCTGACCCCTTGTCTACTGTTCTCTTTCCTCTGACCCTGTACCTGGTGTTCTATGCCTGACCCTTTACCTAGCGTTCTATCCCTGAACCCTTGTCTACTGTTCTCTTTCCTCAAACCCTGTACCTGGTGTTCTATCCCTGACCCCTTGTCTACTGTTCTCTTTCCTCTCACCCTGTACCTAGTGTTCTATCCCTGACCCCTTGTCTATTGTTCTCTTTCCTCTCACCCTGTACCTAGTGTTCTATCCCTGACCCCTTGTCTACTGTTCTCTTTCCTCTGACCCTGTACCTAGTGTTCTATCCCTGACCCCTTGTCTACTGTTCTCTTTCCTCTGACCCTGTACCTGGTGTTCTATCCTGGAACCCTTGTCTACTGTTCTCTTTCCTCTCACCCTGTACCTGGTGTTCTATCCCTGAACCCTTGTTTACTGTTCTCTTTCCTCTGACCCTGTACCTGGTGTTCTATCCCTGACCCCTTGTCTACTGTTCTCTTTCCTCTGACCCTGTATCTGGTCTTTTATCCTTGACCTCTTACCTGTTGATTTACCCCTAACTTCTATTCTGTTGCTCTCTCACTCTGGAACACTTCCCTGTGGTTTACTGACCTTTGACCTGTTGTTCTGTGAACCCTGAACCCTTACCTCCTTGACGAGATGTTCTGTGAACCCTGAACCCTGATCTCCTGTATACTGACCCCTTATCTAGATTTCCTTGATATTTTCTTATTCTTTTTCAGGTATTCTCCTGATATTCACTGACCCCCTAATCTATTACCTTCTCTGATCCCTAAAATCTTACCCTTTATTCTCTAACCTTTAATAATGACCCCTGACCTGGTATTCCTTGACCCCTTACCTGGTGTTCTCTGACCCTTCTTTACTGTCCTGTGTCCATGAGCTCTGCTTTATTGCATCCACTGTCAGGTAACTTGACTACACATGAATAAGTAAGAAAATAAACACTATTGAGTGACTAACTGTCCAAGCATGATTCAAATACTCAAAAGGAGCTATACCTCAAAACATTAATAAAAATATACACTATAGACTATGAATGCTGACCTGACGTTTCTGTATATCAGAGAATAAATCATCTTTATGTTCTAATATATTAGAGACTAAATGGTGATTTTCATGTTTTGGTATTTTAAAGACTAAATGATAATCTTTAATTTCTAGTATGAAAGCAATTAATCAGATCACCATATTACATGTTGTGTGACACTTCATGGTGATCTGACAATTTAATGCCTTATCAGAAACTACAAAAGTACCTCTTTTGAGTGATGATCAAAGCTGTCATCAATTTCCTCATTATCAGAAAATGTACGAAAGTGGTGAGTCTGGACAGCAGCTCCTTGTGGATCTACGAAAAACACAAAAACTCTATAACTACCTCAATATTCCTAAACCTGAAATATTACACATAACATATAAAAAGAACACCTTGTTGTGTAAGTAACAAACCTTCATAAATCAAGTCTACTTTATAGAAATCAGAGGTAGATTTAAATAAATATGTTATTTCTACACATTGTTGACCTGTAGTGTGAAATAAATAACTATCAATTAAAGCACCACTAATGTTAAGATCAAAAAATTTTAAATTCACTTTTTGACATGTTATCAGCAAATCTTAGGCTTCTCCCCAGGCTAACATATCACAAACACTATGTTTGTGTAATACATTAGGCATCGATAAATTCATTTCGCCAATTAAATCTTTTTCTGTAAGTATTTTATTTTCATTTTTTAACTGACATGCAATACAAACCTGTTGGAAAAGCATGAATCCATCGGCGCCGATTAGAAGTCATCTTGAAATGCATGGTGGATGGAGCAAATGGATTGATCAGAGCACGACGAGATAAGGTCGTGGATGAGAGATGCTTTGAGTGAAAGTATGAAGATCCAGCACTTCCAAATATTGGTCGTACAGACTCCCACTCGTCATCAGACGAGCCCTCCAGGTCCTTCGTATGACACTTGTCTGAAGGAACAATAATTACACTACTTATTGAAGAAACTTTTCATCTTCATATCATCTTTACAGAAATGTACTACAGAAGAAATAGTGTTAGCTATTACAGAACCTCATTAGGACATCAAACATTTGTTACAGTATTGTAACATCTCTTCTAATCTGAAAGTCATGTTTTCACATCATAATTTCACGAGTGCTATTCTAGTGAAAAAGTTACCACATGCAAGGCATTCAGAGCAGAACCATTCAAGGATATAAGTAACTTATTTTTTAGTCTTGAGGTTTGGTCATTGTTCACAGTTAAGTCATTAAGTCTCACAAATAAAATGGAATGACAGTCTTAACTAAATCTTCAAGTTTAAATCAATATCAATGTCGTGTCCATTCTGAATATCAGGATTTTTTCCCCCTCTTTCTTTCTTTGGTTGGTAGGTGTGTCTTTTAATTTGAAAAATACTTTCAACAATTTGCCTGAAAACTGATCTTTGAATTACCGATTGAACAGGACTCACCGCTGGCTGGTACTGAGGAGGAGATTTCATCCCCACTGTTGGACCGGACGGGGATGGAGATAGCCCCATCCATACGATCAGCAGTAAGCACTCTCTCCAGCAGGATGTCATCAGATGATCGTCTTATTCGCCCCTTATGGGCCTTTTTGGCCTCCATGTATGTCTGTGGTTCTTTCTTTGCTTTCTTTTTCTTCATTCTACTGCAAAAAACATTCCTTAAATTACACACAAATTTGATTTTAATCCTTTCCTTCATTTCTACAGCAAAAAACATTCCTTAAATTACACACAAATTTGATTTTAATCCTTTCCTTCATTTCTACAGCAAAAAACATTCCTTAAATTACACACAAATTTGATTTTAATCCTTTCCTTCATTTCTACAGCAAAAAACATTCCTTAAATTACACACAAATTTGATTTTAATCCTTTCCTTCATTTCTACAGCAAAAAACATTCCTTAAATTACACACAAATTTGATTTTAATCCTTTCCTTCATTTCTACAGCAAAAAACATTCCTTAAATTACACACAAATTTGATTTTAATCCTTTCCTTCATTTCTACAGCAAAATACATTCCTTAAATTACACACAAATTTGATTTTAATCCTTTCCTTCATTTCTACAGCAAAAAACATTCCTTAAATTACACACAAATTTGATTTTAATCCTTTCCTTCATTTCTACAATTAAATAAAGATTACTTGACAAACAAGACACTGTTAAAGATATTTTATCCTGAAAGTTTTTTGTCAGAATGACATCATTGAAATTCAATGAAATAATCTACCTCTTAGAAAATGGACTTCTTAAGATAGATCTACATTAATACATAAAGTGAAAAATCAGTTCAATGAAATATAATGTGTCCTTACAATTTATCACTTGTTCAGCCCAGAGTTACCTTACCTAATAGAGACAAGCATTTTACACACTGTTTTTATAACATTAATATATATATACTGTATATATAAATCTGCTGTCAACACATTAACACATAATGAAATTTACCCAGTAAGAGAGAAGTTGTGAGTTGGAAGCTTAAACACTTGGGCATCATACTCATCATAATCCACAAAGGGAAAATTGTCATTGTCCGCAGTAGTGCTGCTGGGGGTATATACTGGAAAGTCAGCCACTGAAACATAACACAACCTGCAGTCAAAGGTCTGTATATAGTACATGCTGGGGGTATATACTGGAAAGTCAGCAACACAAACATAACACAACCTGCAGTCAAAGGACTGTATATAGTACTGCTGGGGGTATATACTGGAAAGTCAGCCACTGAAACATAACACAACCTGCAGTCAAAGGTCTGTATATAGTACATGTTGGGGGTATATACTGGAAAGTCAGCAACACAAACATAACACAACCTGCAGTCAAAGGTCTGTATATAGTACATGTTGGGGGTATATACTGGCAACACTGAAACATAACACAACCTGCAGTCAAAGGTCTGTATATAGTACTGCTGGGGGTATATACTGGAAAGTCAGCCACTGAAACATAACACAACCTGCAGTCAAAGGTTGTATATAGTACATGTTTACATATATATATATATACTGTATATATACAACCTGCAGTCAAACTGTAAATAACATGCTGGGGGTATATACTGGAAAGTCAGCCACTGAAACATAACACAACCTGCAGTCAAAGGTCTGTATATATATGAAATTTAGCCACTGAAACAGACACAACCTGTGAGTTGGTCAAAGGTCTGTATATAGTACACTGGGGGTATATACTCATCATAATCCACAAAGGGAACAACCTTAGTCAAAGGTCTGCAATAGTGCTGCTGGGGGTATATACTGGAAAGTCAGCCACTGAAACATAACACAACCTGCAGTCAAAGGTCTGTATATAGTACATGCTGGGGGTATATACTGGAAAGTCAGCCACTGAAACATAACACAACCTGCAGTCAAAGGTCTGTATATAGTACTGTTGGGGGTATATACTGGAAAGTCAGCCACTGAAACATAACACAACCTGCAGTCAAAGGTCTGTATATAGTACTGTTGGGGGTATATACTGGAAAGTCAGCCACTGAAACATAACACAACCTGCAGTCAAAGGTCTGTATATAGTACTGTTGGGGGTATATACTGGAAAGTCAGCCACTGAAACATAACACAACCTGTAGTGAAAGGTCTGTATATAGTACATGTTGGGGGTATATACTGGAAAGTCAGCCACTGAAACATAACACAACCTGTAGTCAAAGGTCTGTATATAGTACTGTTGGGGGTATATACTGGAAAGTCAGCAACACAAACATAACACAACCTGTAGTCAAAGGTCTGTATATAGTACATGTTGGGGGTATATACTGGAAAGTCAGCCACTGAAACATAACACAACCTGCAGTCAAAGGTCTGTATATAGTACATGCTGGGGGTATATACTGGAAAGTCAGCAACACAAACATAACACAACCTGTAGTCAAAGGACTGTAAATAGTACTGTTGGGGGTATATACTGGAAAGTCAACAACACAAACATAACACAACCTGCAGTCAAAGGTCTGTATATAGTACATGCTGGGGGTATATACTGGAAAGTCAGCCACTGAAACATAACACAACCTGCAGTCAAAGGTCTGTAAATAGTACTGTTGGGGGTATATACTGGAAAGTCAGCAACACAAACATAACACAACCTGTAGTCAAAGGTCTGTAAATAGTACTGTTGGGGGTATATACTGGAAAGTCAGCCACTGAAACATAACACAACCTGCAGTCCAAGGTCTGTATATAGTACTTGCTGGGGGTACATACTGGAAAGTCAGCCACTGAAACATAACACAACCTGCAGTTAAAGGTCTGTATATAGTACTTGCTGGGGGTATATACTGGAAAGTCAGCAACACAAACATAACACAACCTGCAGTCAAAGGTCTGTATATAGTACTTGCTGGGGGTATATACGGGAAAGTCAGCCACTTAAACATAACACAACCTACAGTCAAAGGTCTGTATATAGTACATGTTGGGGGTATATACTGGAAAGTCAGCCACTGAAACATAACACAACCTGTAGTGAAAGGTCTGTATATAGTGCTGCAGATATCCACTTTATTTTTGTGTATGGATCGGTTCACTTTCCAAAAATGATAATTTCAGAAAACAAAACATCAGTGATGGCAACATAGAGGCATTCCTCCAGACATATTTAATCAAAGATTTCCCTGAAGAGGAAAGAATTCTGATGATCCCTCTTTTTGGTTGTGTATTGTGAAGCCAACAGAAATTCTAAGATGCCATCTGAGATTTAATAAATCAACCCAAATCATAGCCTACAAGACTTCCATCCAATAACTCCACTTAAAGCCTTCCAGGTTTCTATCAAATAACTCACCTAAAAGTCTACCAAGGTTTTATCAAGTAACCCATAACAAAGCTTAACAGTGTTCCTTCAAATAACCCACAAAGGAACCAACTAGGGTCCCATCAAATAACCTACACAGAAGCCTTCCAGTGTTCTGGTAAATAACCCACACAGAAGTCTGCTCTCATTCTAGAGTATTTTACAACCTTCATAATGTTGTGAACACGGAAATAATAGGACTTCAGAGAATTTGCTCTATTTTCCCTATTGGGCCCCTCCCTTCCCACTCCAGGGGGCTGAAACCCAAAAATTGAAACAAAACTGGTTCCCATTCACCAAAGGAAGCTTAAGACCAAAATGGGCAAAATCCTATAATTTTTTTTCACTTGAAAGAATTTGCTTCATCTCTCTTTTTATACCCTGTCCCTCATTCCCCAAATGAATGTGACACAACCTTCACACAAAATTTATTTCCATTCATCTGAGCAATTTTCAGACAAAAATTATTTGAACGACATCCTGTAATTCCTGAAGAACAAGATAATTTTTAATGAAATTGCGAGATTTTCCACAATGCCCTGTCCCTCCCACCCAAAAGTTCCAAGACCCACTGATTTCTCTTCACCCATGCAAGCTTCAGACCGAATTTGAATAATATCCTGCAATTCCCGAAGAACAATAAAGATTTTAAAGAAATAGATTAATCTTCCCCATTGGGCCCGCCTCTCACTCCCCATGATACCAAAGACCCACCATTTATACAAAACTGGCTTTATAGGAAAAGTTGACAGATGATGGACGACGGATGCCTTGGTATCCCTATAGCTCACTTGACCCTTTGTGCCAAGTGGGTTGATAAACCAATTCCTATCAAGTTTGTTTGAAACTCTTGACTTGGTGATTATAAATATCATTTTGAAATAAAACTTACCTCTGTCTTTAGACTTGGATTTCTTCTCCTTCTGTAAAACCAATTAACTTGTGTACAGTAATGGACTTGCTTTTTTACAACTATATTTACCAGGTAATTTACAGTAAATCTCAACTTTGGTCAATTTTTTATGATTGTGTTTAATTTCTAAAGTAAATTTTTTCCTAACCACATATAGCTGAGATCAAGCATAGTCAACAAACAAAGAAAGCACAAAGTTCTCCCCTGCAGTACACCTTAGCTGTAAAGAAACGATGGAATATTTGGTCAGGTATTACATCAAGAATGATCTCCCTTCTTGATAATTTACCCTAAAAACAGCCAAGCGTGACAATGTCATTGTCTGACTTTGTGAGCTTCTTTAGTCCGAATCATGCAGCATGATCAAGCCAAGCTGCATTTTTTCAAACGAATACTTTTAACTGCTATGTTCAGCCACATTAATTTTTCATGTTGATTTTTGATTTCACCATTGACCGAGATGCCACGCTTCAGAGGGGTAGAGCAATTGTGATGTTGATGGATGGTCATAAACTGCTGTTGCATGACAGTGTGGCGTTGCCTTATGTACAATTAGCCGTCTCTGTATCTGTTTCCATGCTACTGGGTTAGTTTTTTCCACATGTCATGACTGCCAGACAAGAAACAGTGATTCGATTGTCACACTTGCGCAACAGATCCAAAGACTGCTGTAGAGATTGCGTCACATACCTTAGGTACTCATGGCAGACCCATTAGTGCTCAAACTGCCAGGAACCGCTTGCCTGCCTAGAGAATCATTATGCACTGACCTTTTGTCAGGCCACCTCTGATACCACAGAGGCAGCAAGTGCATCTTAACTGGATGTGCAGACATGGCCCGAACAGATTTGGGATGCGTCGGTTGAGACGTGATGTTCACCGACGAGTCTGTATCGCTCAGACAGATGAAAATGGGTATATTGCAGATGCGGTGAGCGTTTTGCTGACGCATGCATGATAGATTTGGTGAGGCTTCTGTAATGGTTTGGAAAGGCATCTCCCATGTAGTGAAATCCCCCTTAGTGGTCCTGGATTCAAACAGACACCAGATCCTCCAATCACAGGTCCTTCCACTTCTCAGATGTCATAACAGGCATATTAGGAAACGTCAAACCCCTCCCAACTAACCGCATCCAGTTGATTGCAGCATTAACACAAGAATGAAACAACATTCCTTTAAGGCAAATTAATGTTCTCATGAATTCAATACATAGGAGAACCCGTGCAGGGATTTGTGCAAGAGGTGCCCACACCAGGTACTGAAGCGTCATTTTGTTTTTCGTGGGTCATGTCACATAGACTTTTCTTCTACGGTATTGTAAAGAGTAGACTTGTCCCTTGATTGTATAATTTAATTGTGCGTTTCCTTTTTTGTCGAGTATAAATGTAAACATTTACTTAAGATAGAACAGTGAGCAGAGAAGTCTGAATTCATTCATAACCTGTTTCTTATTCAAACACACCTGGATACCAAATATCATGGGGTTGTGAACCACATCAATAAATTCACACTTACTGCTTGCTGGGGAGGTTTGATACGTGGGATGAAGCTACCGTGGAGATGAGCCTGAATCTGATTCTTTGACAGGTAGAAGCTGTGGTTCATCCAGTGTGGGATGTTGTAGTCATCCCCGACCTGAAGAGTGGCCTTCAGATGGCGGTTATGGAACTATACATAAACAAACAATTCACTTTTTATTTTTACATAATTATGTGAAGACATTAAGACTGAAAAATGATTTTCAAGTGGTTGTGGTGGTTTAAAACAATTTTCAACTTATTGCATAGTTCTCTCCAGGATGGAATTACAGATGATGACGTTGCCATTGCTCTCTCAATCATAACTGAAATATACTTTGTCATATAAAATTGCATTGCATCAAAGGTGAGAGTCAGAGTAATATCAAATTATAAATGTCAGCTATAGTCTTATACCTTAAAGAGAGGTGCTGCATGTAGAGGCTGTTCCCCCATACACACAAGGTCACTGCCCACACCTGTAATAAAAGTTGAAACAATTATCAAGGTCACTGTTCACACCTGTAAGTTAAAACAATTATCAACAAATTCATCTATTTCAGAATAAAAAATACTTTACATATTTTTAAAACAATTAAACAACTATCCTAAAATACTTTTAAATTTGACCTTAACACACTTTTTACAAGATTTATGTAAATGAGTCAAAATTGTCCAATTATTGATTTGTGACCTTGTCCTATTGAATGGTGTGATTCTGAGGCAGTGTATATACTAGTTAGAACAAGTCCAGTCTGCTGTACCTACCACAATCTATAGTTCTCTGTTTAGTGATGTTGGTCAGCTCTCTATCCACCTCAAACACACCTGGTCCAGGTGTGATTACCACAGCCACCTTACCAGTTCTATCAAAATTTCTGTCCACATAGTGCTTCTCTAACACTGAAATAACGTAACCAGGTACACAATGTTACAAAGGATATGAAATAAGAATTGCGAGTAATTTCTTTGTGTTTCCTTACAACACCTCACTCCTAATACTATGTATTACATAATAGCAAGAGTAATAACTGTCAGTAATAAAAAGGACTCTAAACATATTATTTCACATGTTTCTCTTCAGAATTGATGGTACTGTAAACAAATATATTAAAGCAGTAATTTATTTCATGGCTAAAATATACATCTCATACTACCTGATCCACAAATTAATACAATAATCTGATCAAAAGCAATAACACACTACAATTTTATTGTGCCAAATAAAGTATGTTTACAGTAATTCTGACCTTGATTTGACCTTGAAACAATGTGGTATTGTCATCTTTGACAGTTGAATATGTATGGTTTAATGTTAAGTACCAAGTGATGACAATGAATTTGAATATAAAAAGTGTTCCTGGCCATAACTGCTTTCTCACAAAGCTATAGACTGATAAAAGTTATTCCAGTAAAACATTTATCCCACCCCAGGACTATTCCTGTAAAACATTTATCCCTCCCCAGGACTATTCCTGTAAAACATTTATCCCTCCCCAGGATTATTCCTGTAAAACATTTATCCTACCCAGGACTATTCCTGTAAAACATTTATCCCACCCCAGGACTATTCCTGTAAAACATTTATCCCTCCCCAGGACTATTCCTGTAAAACATTTATCCCTCCCCAGGACTATTCCTGTAAAACATTTATCCCACCCCAGGACTATTCCTGTAAAACATTTATCCCACCCCAGGACTATTCCTGTAAAACATTTATCCCTCCCCAGGACTATTCCTGTAAAACATTTATCCCACCCCAGGACTATTCCTGTAAAACATTTATCCCTCCCCAGGACTATTCCTGTAAAACATTTATCCCTCCCCAGGACTATTCCTGTAAAACATTTATCCCTCCCCAGGACTATTCCTGTAAAACATTTATCCCTCCCCAGGACTATTCCTGTAAAACATTTATCCCACCCCAGGACTATTCCTGTAAAACATTTATCCCTCCCCAGGACTATTCCTGTAAAACATTTATCCCACCCCAGGACTATTCCTGTAAAACATTTATCCTACCCAGGACTATTCCTGTAAAACATTTATCCCACCCCAGGACTATTCCTGTAAAACATTTATCCCTCCCCAGGACTATTCCTGTAAAACATTTATCCCTCCCCAGGACTATTCCTGTAAAACATTTATCCCACCCCAGGACTATTCCAGTAAAACATTTATCCCACCCCAGGACTATTCCTGTAAAACATTTATCCCTCCCCAGGACTATTCCTGTAAAACATTTATCCCACCCCAGGACTATTCCTGTAAAACATTTATCCCTCCCAAGGACTATTCCTGTAAAACATTTATCCCTCCCCAGGACTATTCCTGTAAAACATTTATCCCTCCCCAGGACTATTCCTGTAAAACATTTATCCCTCCCCAGGACTATTCCTGTAAAACATTTATCCCACCCCAGGACTATTCCTGTAAAACATTTATCCCTCCCCAGGACTATTCCTGTAAAACATTTATCCCTCCCCAGGACTATTCCTGTAAAACATTTATCCCTACCCAGGACTATTCCTGTAAAACATTTATCCCTCCCCAGGACTATTCCTGTAAAACATTTATCCCTCCCCAGGACTATTCCTGTAAAACATTTATCCCTCCCCAGGACTATTCCTGTAAAACATTTATCCCACCCCAGGACTATTCCTGTAAAACATTTATCCCTCCCCAGGACTATTCCTGTAAAACATTTATCCCTCCCCAGGACTATTCCTGTAAAACATTTATCCCTCCCCAGGATTATTCCTGTAAAACATTTATCCCTCCCCAGGATTATTCCTGTAAAACATTTATCCCTCCCCAGGACTATTCCTGTAAAACATTTATCCCTCCCCAGGACTATTCCTGTAAAACATTTATCCCTCCCCAGGACTATTCCTGTAAAACATTTATCCCACCCCAGGACTATTCCTGTAAAACATTTATCCCTCCCCAGGACTATTCCTGTAAAACATTTATCCCACCCCAGGACTATTCCTGTAAAACATTTATCCTACCCAGGACTATTCCTGTAAAACATTTATCCCTCCCCAGGACTATTCCTGTAAAACATTTATCCTACCCAGGACTATTCCTGTAAAACATTTATCCCTCCCCAGGACTATTCCTGTAAAACATTTATCCCTCCCCAGGACTATTCCTGTAAAACATTTATCCCTCCCCAGGACTATTCCTGTAAAACATTTATCCCTCCCCAGGACTATTCCTGTAAAACATTTATCCTACCCAGGACTATTCCTGTAAAACATTTATCCCTCCCCAGGACTATTCCTGTAAAACATTTATCCCACCCCAGGACTATTCCTGTAAAACATTTATCCCTCCCCAGGACTATTCCTGTAAAACATTTATCCTACCCAGGACTATTCCTGTAAAACATTTATCCCTCCCCAGGATTATTCCTGTAAAACATTTATCCCTCCCCAGGACTATTCCTGTAAAACATTTATCCCTCCCCAGGACTATTCCTGTAAAACATTTATCCCTCCCCAGGACTATTCCTGTAAAACATTTATCCCTCCCCAGGACTATTCCTGTAAAACATTTATCCCTCCCCAGGACTATTCCTGTAAAACATTTATCCCTCCCCAGGACTATTCCTGTAAAACATTTATCCCTCCCCAGGACTATTCCTGTAAAACATTTATCCCTCCCCAGGACTATTCCTGTAAAACATTTATCCCTCCCCAGGACTATTCCTGTAAAACATTTATCCCACCCAGGACTATTCCTGTAAAACATTTATCCCTCCCCAGGACTATTCCTGTAAAACATTTATCCCTCCCCAGGACTATTCCTGTAAAACATTTATCCTACCCAGGACTATTCCTGTAAAACATTTATCCCTCCCCAGGACTATTCCTGTAAAACATTTATCCCACCCAGGAATATTCCTGTAAAACATTTATCCCTCCCCAGGACTATTCCTGTAAAACATTTATCCCTCCCCAGGACTATTCCTGTAAAACATTTATCCCTCCCCAGGACTATTCCTGTAAAACATTTATCCCTCCCCAGAACTATTCCTGTAAAACATTTATCCCACCCCAGGACTATTCCTGTAAAACATTTATCCCACCCCAGGACTATTCCTGTAAAACATTTATCCCACCCCAGGACTATTCCTGTAAAACATTTATCCCTCCCCAGGACTATTCCTGTAAAACATTTATCCCTCCCCAGGACTATTCCTGTAAAACATTTATCCCTCCCCAGGACTATTCCTGTAAAACATTTATACCTCCCCAGGAAAATTCCTGTAAAACATTTATCCCTACCCAGGACTATTCCTGTAAAACATTTATCCCTCCCCAGGACTATTCCTGTAAAACATTTATCCCTCCCCAGAACTATTCCTGTAAAACATTTATCCCACCCAGGACTATTCCTGTAAAACATTTATCCCTCCCCAGAACTATTCCTGTAAAACATTTATCCCTCCCCAGGACTATTCCTGTAAAACATTTATCCCTCCCCAGGACTATTCCTGTAAAACATTTATCCTACCCAGGACTATTCCTGTAAAACATTTATCCCTCCCCAGGACTATTCCTGTAAAACATTTATCCCACCCAGGACTATTCCTGTAAAACATTTATCCCTCCCCAGAACTATTCCTGTAAAACATTTATCCCACCCCAGGACTATTCCTGTAAAACATTTATCCTACCCAGGACTATTCCTGTAAAACATTTATCCCATCCCGTAACTATTCCAGTAAAACATTTATCCCACCCCAGGACTATTCCTGTAAAACATTTATCCCACCCCAGGACTATTCCTGTAAAACATTTATCCCTCCCCAGGACTATTCCTGTAAAACATTTATCCTACCCAGGACTATTCCTGTAAAACATTTATCCCTCCCCAGGACTATTCCTGTAAAACATTTATCCCACCCAGGACTATTCCTGTAAAACATTTATCCCTCCCCAGAACTATTCCTGTAAAACATTTATCCCACCCCAGGACTATTCCTGTAAAACATTTATCCTACCCAGGACTATTCCTGTAAAACATTTATCCCACCCCAGAACTATTCCAGTAAAACATTTATCCCACCCCAGGACTATTCCTGTAAAACATTTATCCCACCCCAGGACTATTCCTGTAAAACATTTATCCCTCCCCAGGACTATTCCTGTAAAACATTTATCCCACCCCAGGACTATTCCTGTAAAACATTTATCCTACCCAGGACTATTCCTGTAAAACATTTATCCCTCCCCAGAACTATTCCTGTAAAACATTTATCCCACCGCAGGACTATTCCTGTAAAACATTTATCCTACCCAGGACTATTCCTGTAAAACATTTATCCTACACAGGACTATTCCTGTAAAACATTTATCCTACCCAGGACTATTCCTGTAAAACATTTATCCCACCCCAGGACTATTCCTGTAAAACATTTATCCTACCCAGGACTATTCCTGTAAAACATTTATCCCTCCCCAGGACTATTCCTGTAAAATATTTATCCCACCCCAGGACTATTCCTGTAAAACATTTATCCCACCCCAGAACTATTCCAGTAAAACATTTATCCCACCCCAGGACTATTCCTGTAAAACATTTATCCCACCCCAGGACTATTCCTGTAAAACATTTATCCCACCCCAGGACTATTCTTGTAAAACATTTATCCCACCCCAGAACTATTCCTGTAAAACATTTATCAAATCCAAGGACTTACGGGTTAGTTGAGGGCTATTCCAGTTAATATCTATCCCACACAAGGAATATTCCAGTAAAACATTTATCAAATCCAAGGACTTACGGGTTAGTTGAGGGCTATTCCAGTCAATATCTATCCCACACAAGGAATATTCCAGTAAAACATTTATCAAATCCAAGGACTTACGGGTTAGTTGAGGGCTATTCCAGTCAATATCTATCCCACACAAGGAATATTCCAGTAAAACATTTATCAAATCCAAGGACTTACGGGTTAGTTGAGGGCTATTCCAGTTAATATCTATCCCACACAAGGAATATTCCAGTAAAACATCTATCTAATGTGAAAACATTGACAAACTGTGTCAAAAAATGTTTGTCATTTTCTGAAAAAGCTTACAATTCAGAGACATGTTGAGTGTTTCCAGAAAGTTTCCCTGAGAGGCAGTAGAATTCCAGGCCTTGGGCATCTTTTGACCTTTGACCTTGTGGTAATGGAGGACTCGTTGAGGATATTCATTAAAAAGTTTCCTCAATGTCTTAATTGTTCTTGTCCAGTCATCGTAACGCTCATTCTGAACCAACACCCTGAAGGAAATAGTGATGTACTGTTAAGTAACTGTGAAAGAGGATAGACTGCATTGTAAAAGAAACTACAACACAAACAAACTATTACAATTACCCGTTGCAGTAATTAGTGATATAGGTACATATACCACAACCACAATGTTGAGCAAGTTACAAAAGATGGGTAACAAGAAGCATTCATGTAATATGCATTCAAAATATTACAGGTTATGTAATATGTAATATCATGTGACCCATAAAAATGTATGTAATTGAGATAAAGCATCTTGGGTATATCTATCTGAGAAATACCAGATTATCTTTTGACCTGCCCTCATGGCCCTTGGTTAGGGATCAGAATAGGTCACATGATCAGACTATATCGCAGGTAATCTTACTGTACCTGTAGAAGTCCTCATAGTACCGTCCCTGATAGTCCACCTGTATACAATCTCTTACTCCAGCTGGAAATTCCTCTGTCATACAAAATTGTAAGTATTACACAGTACCAAAATCTCAAGTGTTGCCTAAATCACACAAGTTACCTAAATCACAGTGCTACATTCTACCAAAATCACACTTGTTACCTTGGATCAAAAATCAGATATATCCATGTAAAGTCACAAAACAAGAAAAATTAAACTAAACAAAATTGGTGATATGGAAATATGGACAGTCAACAACAAAGCATTGTTTCCACTTTCACTTTATATTTAACATGTGGCAGTAGGTATTGCTTCTGAATGTATCAACATATCAAGTTTGATGAATGTTATACATATTCTGTTAAAGATATGCAGACTTATAGATTGACAGGTATTACAGGCTGACTAAAAAGAGAGTTACTGCCCTTCTTCTATATAGTGTGAACACAAAAGCAGTCTTTCTTCAGTAAACTGCAGCAATACCTCGAGATGTTGCTTTGTAGAAAGTTCGTGAGAACAGCACTATGGTCACATCATGTAGGCAGTTCTGGTTCTGTAAACAATACATATCACATGTTCATTTTAACAGTTTATCATCAGGTGTTCATTTTAACAGTTACATCATCAGGTGTTCATTTTAACAGTTAAATCATCAGGTGTTCATTTTAAATGTTACATCATCAGGTGTTCATTTTAACAGTTAAATCATCAGGTGTTCATTTTAACAGTTACATCATCAGGTGTTCATTTTAACAGTTAAATCATCAGGTGTTCATTTTAACAGTTACATCATCAGGTGTTCATTTTAACAGTTACATCATCAGGTGTTCATTTTAACAGTTAAATCATCAGGTGTTCATTTTAACAGTTACATCATCAGGTGTTCATTTTAACAGTTAAATCATCAGGTGTTCATTTTAACAGTTACATCATCAGGTGTTTATTTTAACAGTTACATCATCAGGTGTTCATTTTAACAGTTACATCATCAGGTGTTCATTTTAACAGTTACATCATCAGGTGTTCATTTTATCAGTTAAATCATCAGGTGTTCATTTTAAATGTTACATCATCAGGTGTTCATTTTAACAGTTACATCATCAGGTGTTCATTTTAACAGTTACATCATCAGGTGTTCATTTTAACAGTTACATCATCAGGTGTTCATTTTGACAGTTACATCATCAGGTGTTTATTTTAACAGTTAAATCATCAAGTGTTTATTTTAACAGTTACATCATCAGGTGTTTATTTTCACAGTTACATCATCAGGTGTTCATTTTAACAGTTACATCATCAGGTGTTTATTTTAACAGTTACATCATCAGGTGTTCATTTTGACAGTTACATCATCAGGTGTTTATTTTAACAGTTACATCATCAGGTGTTCATTTTGACAGTTACATCATCAGGTGTTCATTTTAACAATTACATCATCAGGTGTTCATTTTAACAGTTACATCATCAGGTGTTCATTTGAACTGTTAAATTGTCAGGTGTTGATTTTAACTGTTAAATTGTCAAGTGTTGATTTTAACTGTTACATCATCAGGTGTTCATTTTAACTGTTAAATTGTCAGGTGTTGATTTTAACTTAAATTTTCTGGTGTTGTTTTTAACTGTTACATCATCAGGTGTTGATTTTAACTGTTAACTTGTCAGGTGTTGATTTTAACTGTTAAATTGTCAGGTATTGATTTTGCATCATGACAGCATGAATTGCTCTTTTTCTCATTGTGTGAATATCCTTTTTTTTTCCTCCAAACTTTTTCTTAATTACAAAAACTACCATCCTGCCATTCTGAGTTATGTAATATGTGTACAAAAGTACACAGTTTAGTTCCCCTCTCCTACATATACAATTCATTAGGGCTATTCCATAAATGCCTAGCATGTCGTAGATCTCCGGATTGATAGAAAATGGGTCACAAAAGGGCTGATTTATTCACAGCATAAAATAAGCTTTATTGTTTTAAGAATCCATCATGCACAGAATTTTTTTCACAGGAATTGCCTGTTGTTTGACTTTCACTCTCAATACTGAATTCTTCACTACTGAATTACCTTCCACTTAGCAAATAAGTCAGTTAAAAATCCATTAACAGCTTTTTCAAAGTACAAGTCTCCATTGATGTCGAAGTCCCACATCTCAGAGCTCATCTGGATGAAGATCTGGACCACTGCTGTTGATGACCGAAATACAATCTGTAAAATACAAGATGATCTCAGAGGGATCCTGGCACCTACCATTGTTTGATCTTGATATGTTCTTAAGAGTTAGACCTTTTCCTACTTTTCTCTCTTCTCTTTCCTGTTTTTGCTCTTAATAATACAAAGTTAGACCATTGTTTGAAGAAATAGCTGCAAAATCCATTTTTTTCCCTGAACAGTACCAAAATCAAACATGCACAACTACGAATTATGTGGAGAATACAATTGAAATTTGAGAGATTCATCCAGTACAACTTAAGAAATAATGATAACAAACTTTCATTGTTGAAATCCATGATTGCCGCCTGTCTGCGAACTTCTTTTTCTGATAAATCTTAAAATAAAATGAACACAACTGGGATCCAAGGGTAACCTATATATCAAATTTGAGAGATTCATCCAGTGCTACTCAAGAAATAGTGATAACAAACTTTTGTTGTAACAAGCAATCCTAGAGGGATCTTGGCACCCACCATTGTTTGATCTTTATTTGCTCTTTGAAAGTTGGATCTTTTCCCTTTTTCTCTTCTCTTCTTTGTTTTTGCTCTTAATGATCAGAAATTTGCACATTTCTTTACAAAAAAGATCAGCTTCTAATCAGCACAAAAATCTAACAACACAAATAGAGACCAAAAGGAATGTAAGTATGAATTTAAAAGATCCATTCAGTACTACTTAGAAAGAGGGATAACAATCTTTACTAGATCTAGTCCAAGATGGCTGCCTGTCAGCCATTTTGTTTTTCTGATCAGTACCAAAATCAAACAGGCACAACAAGGGATCAAGAAAAACATACACATGAATTTGAGAAAGATACATGCTGTAGTTCTCAAGTAATAGCTATAACAAACTTTCAAAGTCAACCAGATCCCTAATCAAATGGATGTAACTAGGGACCAAGGGGAACCTACATATCAAATTTAAGAAAGATTCATCCAGTATTTCTCAACAAATCATGATAACAAACTTGCAAAGTCAAAATGTCTAAAATGTAAATTGTTTATGATGTATGATTACATGGCAGATTGAACAATGCCGGCCAAAGGACAATAGTTTACTGACAGACCACTGACCACTGACCACAGATGTAGGGAGATTTGAATAAATGTTTACTGACAGACCAATGACCACAGATGTAGGGAGATTTGAATAAATGTTTACTGACAGACCAATGACCACAGATGTAGGGAGATTTGAATAACTGTTTACTGACAGACTGACAGACCACTGACCACAGATGTAGGGAGATTTGAATAACTGTTTACTGACAGACCACTGACCACAGATGTAGGGAGATTTGAATAACTGTTTACTGACAGACCACTGACCACTGACCACAGATGTAGGGAGATTTGAATAACTGTTTACTGACAGACCACTGACCACTGACCACAGATGTAGGGAGATTTGAATAACTGTTTACTGACAGACTGACAGACCACTGACCACAGATGTAGGGAGATTTGAATAACTGTTTACTGACAGACCAATGACCACAGATGTAGGGAGATTTGAATAACTGTTTACTGACAGACCACTGACCACTGACCACAGATGTAGGGAGATTTGAATAACTGTTTACTGACAGACCACTGACCACTGACCACAGATGTAGGGAGATTTGAATAACTGTTTACTGACAGACTGACAGACCACTGACCACAGATGTAGGGAGATTTGAATAACTGTTTACTGACAGACCAATGACCACAGATGTAGGGAGATTTGAATAACTGTTTACTGACAGACCACTGACCACTGACCACAGATGTAGGGAGATTTGAATAACTGTTTACTGACAGACTGACAGACCACTGACCACAGATGTAGGGAGATTTGAATAACTGTTTACTGACAGACCACTGACCACTGACCACAGATGTAGGGAGATTTGAATAACTGTTTACTGACAGACTGACAGACCACTGACCACAGATGTAGGGAGATTTGAATAACTGTTTACTGACAGACTGACAGACCACTGACCACAGATGTAGGGAGATTTGAATAACTGCTTACTGATAGACCACTGATCACTGACCACAGATGTAGGGAGATTTGAATAACTGTTTACTGACAGACTGACAGACCACTGACCACAGATGTAGGGAGATTTGAATAACTGTTTACTGACAGACCACTGACCACAGATGTAGGGAGATTTGAATAACTGTTTACTGACAGACCACTGACCACTGACCACAGATGTAGGGAGATTTGAATAACTGTTTACTGACAGACCACTGACCACTGACCACAGATGTAGGGAGATTTGAATAACTGTTTACTGACAGACCACTGACCACTGACCACAGATGTAGGGAGATTTGAATAACTGACTATCTGGTGATGGTAGGCTAAAAGCACAAAAAGAAAGAAAATGAAATTCCAATAAAAAATGACATTGAAATATTATTTGAATTTGAAAAATGTTTAGTTAGGTGTGAATTAAGTTACAGGGAAAATTTTGGAGTTGACAATCAGTTTTAAGGTATATGTCTTGTTTCACAGAACTCACCATTATTTGACCTATGTCCTTTGTTGTGCTGCTAAGCTTGATACACAAGGTAAAACCATGTAAATACCCCAATTGATAGCAATATTGAAGAATTTCATGTTTCATAATAGTGGTTATCCTGAAACCCCCTATCTTTCCAATCTCAAATCTGGCATAAAACTTCTTCCCTCCTCCACCCCCTAACCCCAATCAATGTATTCCCAGTAGATATTAGTTGAAAGTTTTCAACTTACTCTTGTGTCCTCTGTAATCATTCCACATGTCACACGATCACCTTTTGCCCAGAGCTCGTTAACCTGAGCCCTGCAAACAACATACATTGATAGTTAATATATGCACATTAACAAAAACAGGTACTACACTTAAACTTAATACAAAATAGTACACAGGTTTCAGGGTTTTCCGTAAGAGCTGGTCGCCGGCCAATTTTTTTTGACCAGCTACTTTTATCATTTGGCCGCCAACACCAATCCAGTTCTGTAATAATATTCCATACACGACTTCACGTACACTGCAGGCCAGCCTCCTACTTTCACTACACAGCCTACTACTAACAAAATTATGGAAAACCCTGCAGGTTTATAGATAATTTACAGTTTATAAAATTCATGATTAACAGTAATCATTTAATATGATCTTTGAAGAAACAAAACACTATATCATATGACTGTCAGTTCTAATAAGCAAAATGAAATGAATTAATTGTCTAAATGAATTTCTAAAGATACGTATAAAGTACCCAGTCTTGTATGTAGAAGAATGATAGCAATTCCATATAATGTTGTCAACCTTGTTTTTTTTTATTTGGAAAACTTCACCAAAGTATGAAGAGGTCACACGTTTATATCACCTCATCTGGGCATCCTCTATCTTCTTGGTAAGATAAGCACAAGTGTTGACAAGGCCATGTCGTAGTCGCCACATGTCACTGCGACTGAGGTACTGATCTTTAAACAGAAGCTCCACAAGATCAAGCGCAACATCCTGTCAAAGTCAAGAATGTCCTATTTCAGTTCTAACATTAAACATATAACAAATTTATCTACTGAATTCTTTCTAGAAATAACCTACTACTATATACCTGCTGAAGCCTACTTTTAATGTTCATTAATGTCCAGCATTGTGACTGCTAAATTAAGGCAAATGAAATTTGAGTGATATGTCAATATTACATAGCTAAGAAATAAATGGTTGAAAATTGCGAAACCTCCATCACTGGCTACAATTTTATATGTTGAACTAACAGCAAATGCCTTTCTACTGAATGTCAACCTTCAACAAACACTAAATGTCTTTCTACTGAATGTCAACCTTCAACAAACACCAAGTGTCCTTCTACTGAATGTCAACCTTCAACAAACACTAAATGTCTTTCTACTGAATGTCAACCTTCAACAAACACTAAATGTCTTTCTACTGATGTCAACCTTCAACAAACACTAAATGTCTTTCTACTGAATGTCAACCTTCAACAAACACCAAATGTCCTTCTACTGAATGTCAACCTTCAACAAACACCAAATGTCTTTCTACTGAATGTCAACCTTCAACAAACACCAAATGTCTTTCTACTGAATGTCAACCTTCAACAAACACCAAATGTCTTTCTACTGATGTCAACCTTCAACAAACACCAAATGTCTTTCTACTGAATGTCAACCTTCAACAAACACTAAATGTCTTTCTACTGAATGTCAACCTTTAACAAACACTAAATGTCTCTCTACTGAATGTCAACCTTCAACAAACACCAAATGTCTTTCTACTGAATGTCAACCTTCAACTGATTATCATTTTTTGAGAAAATGATCTAGTTACAGTTCATGAAAGCCATTTAAAAGGTTACCAGCCTATGCAATACTCATCCTTTTATTTAATAACTTTTTAACATCTATAAACCAAACCAGTCATCAACATGATTGCAATTTCTTTTTTTCACATTTGAAGTGTGATGTGATTTCTTGATGTTGTGATACATTTCACATAAGAGCTTTCCCTTTTTAAGAATTCTTATTAAGTGCATCACTTTTGTATCTTTTTAAGAACAGTACACTTATAAGGCCATATACAGTAACAACATTTTAAAAATAATCACTGCAAGTAACAACACAATGAATTTTGTCTCAATAAGTCTATATATGTGTAACAATTTGGCGCATATTTTCTCTCTGCTATAGATAGAAGTAAATGCAAATAAAGCCGTTGGTGACAATGATGTCCACCCCAGGTGGCATTAACAACAGTACCTTAGGGCTGACTTTACTGACATGCACTTCTTTATAGGCTCGCAGCTGGAACTGTGTAGCTATAGACTGTTCTATGCTTATGATATCTGGAAAAGATTGTCAAACACTTAAATATACAATGGTGAGAATAAAGAATAATAACGAGTATTTCAAACAGTAATATCTAATATTTTAAGCCAGAAAAAAAGTTGATAAAACAACATGCACTTTCTATGTCTTCCAACATCCTATATTTACATGTATGGAACATTCAATTCTCACACTGCACCATAACTTTTCCACTGCCAGCATTCTAGCATTATCTGACATGGAAACAGATTCTGAATTAATACACAAATCTGAGGAAACTATGGAAAAAATAAGTGAAGATTTACATAGAGACTCTTGAATAAGTACAAGGAGAAAAAGACCAGGTGTTCTGAAAGGTTAAGCTTCTTCTGCTTCATTGCTACACCCAGTATGTAAATTTTGGTCAATCAAAGCAAGTAATGTCACATTCCCAAATGACACCAAGGTATACATCAACGGGGCTACAGGCATACTAACCAGCAAAATCAAACTCCCTTATTAGACCCTCCCTATTGCATCACCTGGTATATACTTAATACTGAATCTGTCAGCAGCTGATGAATATTAATTCTTTATACCCAGACAAACTTTTCTTATTAAGATACAATCCTCTCAATTTATGAATACTTCTAGCAACTGGAACACATTTAATATAATGCATTTGTATTTTTGTGCATCATTTCTCATAAAAGTGTTAAAGCAGTGTTTTACCTTTCTGATTAAAATCATCTGCGAGAGCAGTAACTTGCAGCAACAGACGACTGGAAAAAGGAGAATGAAGAAATGAATATGTCATCATCAATGATATATTGTTTATCAAGAAAGAAACTGACGAGAATTTATTTCTAATAATGATGATTGTGTATTCTAACCAGATACTCAAACTTTAATAATCATGCAAAATGGATGTTTTTGAACCAAGTATCTTAAGTTTCATAATATTAAGAAATCAGTTGTGTTGAAGTCTTGTAGATACACAGAACTAGCATGTAAGACAGTAACTTAAGATTAAATGATTCTCTGAAATGTTACCTCTGTTATAGACACTAACTTAGACTAAATGATTCTCTGAAATGTTACCTCTGTAAAATTTCCTGTATTGTGATACAACTCCCAGATGGTTGATACACTGATCCAACACCCTCCATTCTTACACACCAATGCATCAGTAAATATTATACCACTGAATCATTCTATGTATTAAGGTGAAGAATCAAAGTGAAAATATTCATAGCTACTGCCCCTGAGTATATGTTTATAGATTACAATATTGATATGTGTTATTTTACCTGTATTCATCTTCAGGGTGGTAGATTTCTAAAACATCTCCCTTGCTAACATCAGGGAAGTCTTTTGGATTGATAAGGATATCATCTCCTGAAATTGTATGTGATCTGTTAGTTCCATTTCCTCTCAAAAAATGCTTTGTCCACATGCGTTAATTGAAAATTTAAAGCTCTGTTTTAGATGTTGCATGTCTCTGTACCTATAACAAATGTGATGTTGTTTTTTTTGTATAGGATAGTTATTGGTTTCATCTATTGTCTAACATTAAAAGATATTTGTCAAGATCACCTATTTGATATGATTAAGAAACAATTTTGGTTTCTTATTTTTTTTCATGGTTTGTCTATTTTCCACCATAATAAATGAAGCTTCTAAAAAAGGACATCAATTTTGAAAGCTACTAAATCAATAAAATTCTTCAAATAATGGAAACAAAGGTTGATTATAATAATGAGATGCAACTATTGGTGAAACATAATATAATAAATCCTTAAACTTGTTTCATACAGGCATATTCAGTCAGATAAATATACACAAAAGTTCCCCAAAATTGAGACAGTTTGAGTTTTTTATGGTGTTCTCAACCTGTACACACATGCAAAAATCCACTAAAATACACACATGCAAAAATCCACTAAAATACACACATGCAAAAATCCACTAAAATACACACATGCAAAAATCCACTAAAATACACACATGCAAAAATCCACTAAAATACACACATGCAAAAATCCACTAAAATACACACATGCAAAAATCCACTAAAATACACACATGCAAAAATCCACTAAAATACACACATGCAAAAATCCACTAAAATACACACATGCAAAAATCCACTAAAATACACACATGCAAAAATCCACTAAAATACACACATGCAAAAATCCACTAAAATACACACATGCAAAAATCCACTAAAATACACACATGCAAAAATCCACTAAAATACACACATGCAAAAATCCACTAAAATACACACATGCAAAAATCCACTAAAATACACACATGCAAAAATCCACTAAAATACACACATGCAAAAATCCACTAAAATCAGCCATTGGAAATGAACTTGTACATTTAATCATCTTATCCAAGATGTTCAAAAAAATTCTTCCTGAAACCAGAATAAATATCAGCTATTTATTTATTTATTTTGAACATGTTTAACATCCACTATAACAGCCTTATCGCCTTTCAGCAGATGAGAAATGATAGGAAAATGAGTAGAGAGGAAGCATTGGGAGAGAGTGGGACTGTAAGTCATGAAATGATTTTTAGGCTAAACGTACTCAGTACACATAGCCTATTGCTACGGCCTTTCAGACAAAATTCACCGATCCTGGCCTCCTCATTGGCTGAAATATCGAAAAGAGTTAGTGCCCTCTAGCGGCAATTTTCTGCGTAAATAATGCCGCGATCTTTCAAATCACTATTTTAAAAGCACCCAAAATTAGTTTATTTCTTTTAATAACAATACGATTACTATATATTTCAAAAAAGAAGCACTGTGTGGTTGAACTATTGATAAATTTTGAACAATGTATTTTACGGAATTCTCGACATGACGTAAGCGTACAGAATACTGTACGTGCGAGTTGATAAGAAGCTAGTCTGGGGGCTTGGTTTGAATTATCAACTAACAGCACTTATAAACAAACAAAACTTACAAACAGAACACCAGTTTTGTTTTAATCCTTGTCGTTGTGGCAAGATTGTCTTAATATATAACATCACTTTACCTCAGTAGACGTCACCAAATTGGACTGTTCGTCCCGCACGCACACCCGCCGATATGACACTTTCTTCAGGTTTTTCACACCCACCGCCATGACACTTTTTCAAGAAAGTTTGCGCTTCGTAGGCAAGTTACATTTGGTGCTCATGATTTATGAATAATATATTTTTAATACTGTACTGATCATGATGTTGACTCTGTTATAACTTATATTTTTTGTCTTTTAGTTTCATTTGATGAAGGTTGATTGTGCTGATTTCTCAAGGTTTGTTAATGTGTATCAAAGTTCCTTGAATTGAAAATATTTCTTCAAACAAAGCGTGTATAAAAAAAACCCCAAAATATTCATGTTTATAATTATTAATTGACTAGAATGAAATATTTCCATAACATATTTATTCATTTAGTGTGTCATGGTGACATTATCTAATGCGTTGGAGATCAGAAATAGTAGTAGCTATAGTGAAAATATTGTAAATTTTGTATATATATGGAAGTCTGGTTTAATCTCAAAGAACTATGTCTTTATAGACATAATTACTGGAAGAAAAGTCTAACCATGATACTTCAAGGAAGATAGGCATGTAAATACATTTAATGTAATTACTTACACTTTAACCTATCTGAAATGCTGTGTACACCTTATCTACTTTCCTCAACTACAAATATAACTACAATAAGTAAGGACTATTACTTTGCAATACATTCAAAATAATGAAGTAGGTATAAAGTCCTTTCGATTTGTCTAAATCCTCATATTGATAGGATAGTAATTGCAACATCTTGGGTATTTCAAAGGTTTTATTTAGTCAACTTCATCATAGAGCTATTAATCATTTGGCTTGTTGGCGATAAATATATGGTTGTGTGTATTTCGTTATTTTTTTACCTATTTGTTCACATTATTGTCGTCAAATTTGAAATAAGAATTAAAGAAGATATAAAATCGCTTAAAATTAAGAAAAATAGCCTCTGATTCTCTTATTTTAGTAATTTTTGCATTCCAAAGTGTAGGAGTATGGGGAAAGTAATATAGCTTTGCGGTTATTTGTGAACATTTTTCAACACGTTTAGCCTTTCAGTACTTTGATTTAAATTAGTTACACAAAATGGCATATTCACAATAACTGACCAAGATATGCAATGGATAAAGTACATTTGCAAAATATCTCAACCTTCCCTTCCCTCCTTAAAAAAGTCAAAAACAAAATATGTGTTGTGTAATTTGTTTATAATTCAATAAATCATACACTCGACCAAGTAACCCAATGGACAATCACAGTAAAAGCATGAGCAGGAGACTTCAGAATGCACTAAACTGTATTTTTTACTGAAGACAGTTTTCAGTGTTAAAATTTTACATATTAAGCACAATCCCACATTTGAGTAATAAGTCTTGTATATGAGTAATCAATTAGTTACTCAAATGTGATCATATTAAAAAGATGATGCCATTTCTGTTGCAAAAGTTTTTAAGAACTTTATGAATTGCTATTTCAAATGAACCTGCATTTGAGTAATTGAGGGGAAAGTACAATCAGACTGTAAAGTGTCTTCTACAACCTACAAAACACCCAAATTTAGCCAAGAAAACCTCTGTCCCATCTCTATAACATGTATATGCAGTAGAATGATAGGGCAAATAGTGGTCAGTAACATGATGGTGCATGCCTATGACACCCTACATCTACTGCAACGTGGCATACATAAATGAAGATGATGAGAAAGCCAACTTATAAATCTATAAATGATGTAACTACTAATATGGATGATGGTAACTAGACAGACATTTTCATGATGGATTTTTTCAAAGCCTTCAATAAAATTAGCCATTTTCTCTCCTAAAGCATAAGATAAGGCAGAAGTCATTATGCAGTTTAGTGCCTAAGCTAGGCTTCGAACCTGGAACCCCTGGCTTACTAGTCTGACGCTCAACCGATCAAGCGAAAGAGAAGCTCTCTCTAGCCGGGCAGTATATTGCCATTATTTTACCTGGGCTAAATTTGTAATACTATATAAATTGCTAATTTCAAAACAGCTATATCTGTGCCTGTATTCATTCGTCTTAGATTCCCAGTTGAGCTATAATATGATGGAAAGAAGGTGCTCTAATCACCAGGGCAAGTTTGAAAGACAGTACTGTCTTCCAGATGGGTTCAGTTAATGTTGGATGTTTCACAATTCTCGTATGTTTCGGCCTTGATTCTACACTTTTGTTTTTGGAACATGATTAATGATGGTACCTCTCCTTCAATTATTTTATAATTGAATTTGGCATTTACGTAGTCTTCTTGTTTGTTATGTAGGAAGGTCTATGTCTTGTAACATTTTAGTCATGCTTTCTTTCTCTCTGGGTTTGTAGTCTTTTGTTATGAATCTTGCACCTCGTCTTTCTAATTTTGCTGCCTCTTTGGTTGTTAAAAATCCTAGATGACTGATCCATATTCAATAATTGATCTGATGAGGGCTATATATGTTATTGATAAACAATAATAAAGATTAGTTCTCTCCTTCTCAATCTATTTTGTCTTTATTATAGTTTGCTAAAGTTTCCCTTTCTTAATCATCTTTGTCCTGTACTTCATGTAAGCTAATGAAATGACAAAATCTTCAACTTCCTGAAGTTGGTCATTAAGAGTAGTGTGAAAGGCGCAGGTCGGTGAGAATTGTACATTGTTAAAGTACAGTCTGTGTCACTCAGCTGACAGAGCACGTTTCTTTGGCTCAGTTGGTAGATGCAGTTGGTTACCATGCCAAAGGCCTGGGTTTGATTCCTGATCAGGGCACATGACAGGAATGGGTATTTTCCCTATTCTTTCACAATAAAGTAACCAAGCACTCAAATGCTTGACTTGCCTATTACCAGAATCGTACCCAACCTGTTAAATAGTGGTATTACTTATCAATTTGTGTGAAGAGTGCTGTAGACAACATATTTCATTTTTGTTTTTTTTTTTTAGCAACTGTAGCTTAACACATAGATATCTCAATCTGTGATTGAAAAACATATCAATATGCCAGGTTATTTAAAAATAAAGAAGAAGAAATTATGACTTTCCTGTGCAACAATATGTAGGAGATCAAAAGCATTAATATTTTTGCTATGAGATTTCCAGTGCATCCTTGGCCTCCCAAAATTCAACTAGTTGTCTAATTGGTCACTACTGCACCATCGAAACTCCATTTTTTTTCTTTTTATTTACCTGTGTCATTATAACTTCTGTTGTGAACCCATAACTTTAATGTCCTCATCGTCATTTGACTCAAGCCGTAGCTTATATTCAGCTCATATTTCTTCTTTGAACATCAGCAGGGACCACTCATAACACTTTTACAACAGTTAATGGAACAAAATATATATAAGAATAGTTTTCATTGGATAATATACACAGAGTCAGGATCACCGCCGCTGAAGAAGAGTAGCGAACACGGCTAATGGACTAGAATACTTTCGTGGGATTACAACCTTGAACCTCAATAAGAACCTTATTCTGATTGGCTTAAACTCATTACTGATGTATCGCTTACGCTGATTGGTCATTAAAATAGAAACCGAAAGTGCAACCTGAGAAATGTTATTATTCCTTTTGCTTTCAGCAACGAAGTCGTGGAGGGTATTATTAATACCAGCCCTTCTTTACAGGTGTTGACATTTCCTTCCTAACGAAGACAGTAGTGATAAGGAATACAAGAAAGTATATTGCTCCCTGCGGCTAAGGTCCTCTCTAGATTTGCTCTGCTGTAAATTTTGTCTATACGTACCTTGGATAATGTTAATCTCGCGTTGTGTTGGTATACGTAGAGGCCTAGGCCACAGTGGATTTACTCATACCACATTTTCCTTTATCCTGAGTGGGTTGGACTGTGATTTTGTCTTTAAGGTAGCTTATCACATGCATCAAATGATGCACTGTGTAAAGGAGTGTCTAATCCAGCGAAGTGTTTGACCCAACTTCAAAATTTCGATCGAGATATTCATGGAAAATTACACATCATCATCATCATCATCATCATCATCCTATATTCCTCAAAGCTGAGAGTACAAAAACTGAAAAAAAGAAAGTTTAAAGTGAAATGGACATATTTACATGAAGAACCTGATCGCTAAGCGCATATTTCAATCAAGAATCATTCATGGTGACCAGTTTTCTGAGCTCAAAATATGTTTCACGGTTCACCAGTATGGAAATAGATTTCTGTTGTTTTATGCAATAGATACGCACAGTCTTTTGTAAATTCCTCAGTTACAGAATCTGTCAAATTCAAATTCCGAAATTTTCCCTTTGAATATTGTCTAGAGCAGGCCTTTTGATAAAAGGCTTGATATTATCAAATATGGCTGTACACCATAATAATCAACTAGTTTAGTGAAAAAGGTATCTCTCAAAATAAATGTGCTGGTACAGTCTGTAACAAAATGTCTTATGCTGTCATGAAACGGTTTTGTACACAGCTTGTATATATTGCACTGTTCTACAGGTACACACGTTAAAATTTTGCAAATAAATAGAACTGTTCTTTTGTCGATATCCAATGTTTTGAGCATGACATACGGCTCATTATAGGTAGAGTGGACAGATCTAAATTGAACGAAATCATCATCACTGTTCATTCTCTCGGTCAATAAGCGATCTTCGCGTATGTTAATAGCTCCTTTTACTAAAAGTTTCCATTGAGTCTTTGATGGGAATTCTGCACATTGGATATAACCCTGTACCCATTATAATAATTCATATTTGGTTAATAATGCCAGAATATCAGGGATATACCCCGTTTGCTTTGATATCGGTCCATCTGTATATCTGAGAAGTCTACGAATGGAAATTCTTTTTGGAATGCTGTTTGGTGCACAACCAACAATACAACGTAAAAAGTAGAGTTTTTCTTTTCTCGATTTCGCACTGAATCCTGTGAAGTCGAAGTATACTTTCGCACATATCCGATCGAGTGGATTTCCTTAGATTAAGCATAAGTTTTACTGCATAATGCTGAAACGTCTCTAGCTTTCGGATATCGCATTTAGTTAAGTGATTCCATAATTCGCATCCATATAACATGGACGGAAATATAACTTTCTTGTATATGCTAACAAGAGTAAGTGGTTTCGTGTAAGCACAGTCGGTTCCCATGCGCGTGATTGAGTGCAACATGTTACGGCCTTTCTTACAAGCGTTGTCAACGGCGTTGGCGTTTTTCAGGTTGGAAGAGAGAAGTACTCCTAAGTGTACCGCCTTATCGACTATATGAAGTGGATTGCTGTTAATCATCCAATTGAAATTTCTACATGTGCTTCGAAAAGTAAGTATGTTGCATTTCGATGCATTAAACGGAAATTTCTATTTTACGGCATACCTTTGTGCGACATCTAGCAGAGTTTGAGGGTCCTAGGGCTAGTAGTAACAAGAAAAGTAAGTATGTTGCATTTCGATGCATTAAACGGAAATTTCTATTTTACGGCATACCTTTGTGCGACATCTAGCAGAGTTTGTAGGGTCCTAGGGCTAGTAGTAACAAGGGCAACGTCATTAACTTAGCATGGATTACCACATTCAATGGATTGGACTTTCATGCCAACGTTAGTAGTCACCATTTCAATGAGCATATCGTTAATATGTAGCAAGTTTACGGACAAAATCAGAGAAAATGTTATTTATTTGATAATTTCATTGAAATTAAACAGATTACAGAAATAAATGAAATAGGACTAGTCAGCGTTAGTGCCATGCACACATAGCAAATGCCTACGTCGACGCCATGTAACTCAGTGGCGTAACAACACGTAACTGTTGGTAATAGTCATGTTTATTCAGATGTTAAATAATAGTCATGTACAAAGGCAACATCTCATCAACATACACATATAATCACTCCACTTCACATTGTGTCTCATAAAACAGTCTCTGTATCAAAACTGTCCTTGTATAAAAACAGTACTTCTAGGTATATACTAACATAACCACTCCTTATACAAGCCATCATGGTATAACCTGTCTGTGAGCTGGTCTTGTGGGCTACCTTGGGCCCATCTATTGGGGTGTCTCAATTCCTTCTTTAAGCCATCTATGACCGTGCAGTCGGGTGTCCAAACCCCTTCTCTAAGCCATCTATGACCATGCAGTCGGGTGTCCAAACCCCCTTCTCCTAAGCAATCTATGGCCGTGTAGTCGGGTGTCAAAACCCCTTCTCTACTATCCCCAGAATCTAGCTTCTATCTATCCCATCTTGACCGATTCTGTCCCGCTATCCTCTTATATGGACTTCACTTGTTGCAAGCTGATTGTTGAAATATAACCATCAACGCTCGAGGTGCGAGGTTGAGATTCCTCCTGCTTGGTTTGTTACTGGAAATAGCCCTTGATAATTACTCTAACACCTAGTGGTCACTGTGATATATGGATCAATCCGGTACGTGTTACTGTAGGGTATTTAGTATAACCCTGAGCGTTAGCTCTTCTGTCGTGGAGGTTAATAAAAGCAGTTGTATCACCTGGACGCCATTTCTTATGAGTTGATTGTTCCACGTGGGTAGCAAACAAGATATTACAGTGGCGACGAGGCACGGAACTTGTGGTAAGATTGACTCTGTGTTTTGAACGAAAGCACCATGGCGAAAATAGGCCATATCGGCGAATTCGCAGAGGGCAAAGAGGATTTCAGTTGTTACGTTGAGAGACTGGAACAGTTTTTTGCCGCGAATGATACAGATGACGTTAAACGGGTCCCTGTGTTTCTAGCGGTAGTAGGTCTGCAAACATATGCTTTGCTTAGGAACATTCTCACCCCAGAACTGCCCAGTACCAAATCGTATGAGGAGTTGAAGGCAGCACTAACTAGACATTACTCCCCCAAACCACTCGTGATAGGAGAACGGTTTAAATTTCACAATCGTAAACAGAGGGAGGGGGAATCAGTTTCTGATTATGTAGTCAGCCTAAAGAAGTTGGCAAAGTATTGTGAGTTCGGGGACTTCCTTAATCAGGCCTTGAGGGACAGACTAGTATGCGGATTACGGAGTGAGGTCATACAAAAGAAACTGTTGGCTGAGAAAGACTTGGACCTAGCCAGGGCTAATGAAATCGCGTTAGCCATGGAGATGGCGACAAAGAACACTGAGTTAATGTCGCAGCCGGCCATTGGTTCAGTCAATGTTGTGAACAAAGGTCAGAAGTACAAGCCTCGGAAATCAAAGTACTGGGGTACTGAAAGATCACACTCGGACAAGGCAGAGGGAACCAACAGTGACTCAGGTAAAAGGTGTTTTCGCTGTGGTGGAAAACATATACCAGCAGACTGTAAGTTTCTGCATGCGCAGTGTTATGTGTGTCAGAAAGAGGGACATATTGGAAAAAAATGTCCAACCAAAAGGTCAAAAGGGCCTGTAAGCGGTACTAACATTAGTAAGACTAAGTATCTCGAGGCACAGGAACTCAAGGATGATGAGTTCTTATATGGCCTATATAATGTCGCTAGTGTTGATAAGGGCTATAAGGTGAACCTCGATTTGAACGGTTGTCCAGTTTAGATGGAAATTGACACAGGAGCCGCGGTCATTATTTGCTCGGAGAAGGTGTATACTGATCATCTCTCGCAATTGTCCTTGCAAAAGCCCACGGTCAAGCTGAAAGACTATGGTGGCGTGAACGTGCCATTACGCGGTGAGGTAACCGTTCCAGTGACATACGGAAATCAGAGCCATAACTTGTTGTTGCGCGTCGCATGTGGCAACCGTCTTTCGTTGTTGGGTCGGAACTGGCTAAGCCACATCAAGCTCGATTGGCCAAGTATATTTACTGTGACCCAGTCAGTGCAGTCGCAGCGCATTGATACGTCGGTCAAGGAACTGTTGGTCAAGCATCACAAGCTGTTCCAGAAAGGTCTGGGAACGATACAGAAATTTAAGGCTCTAGTAAAGGTTTGGTCGGATGTACAGCCCATTTTCTGTAAGGCCCGGGTGGTGCCTTTTTCCCTAAAGGAAGCCTTAGAGAAGGAGCTTCATAGACTTGAAAATGAAGGCATTGTGTTGCGAGTCGAACAAAGCGATTGGGCGACTCCAGTTGTCATTGTGCCGAAGGCCGATAAGTCAATACGCCTTTGTGGCGACTTCAAGGTGACTGTAAACAAGTGCTTGGATGAACAACAGTATCCACTTCCGAATGTGGAAGACATGTTTGCACAGCTGGCCGGTGGTCAGAAGTTTACGAAGTTGGATTTATCGCAGGCGTACCAGCAGTTAACATTAGACGAGGCCTCAGAGAAATATTTAACCATAACCACACACCCTGGATTATTCAGGTATCATCGGTTACCGTTCGGTGTTGCATCGGCCCCCGCTATCTTTCAGTCAGTCATGGATCAGATATTGCAGGGAGTACCGCATACCATGTGTCGTATCGACGATATCCTGGTTACGGCACCAAGCGACAGTGAACACATCAAGATCTTAGGTGAAGTGTTGCGTAGACTCGAGGAGCACCACGTCCGTCTACGCGAGGACAAGTGTAAGTTCATGGAGGACACCGTCGAGTATATGAGTAATATGGTGGATCGCGAGGGAATCCATTCCACTGAGGCGAAAATCGAAGCGATCAAGAACGCGCCAAGTCCGACAAATGTGTCTGAACTGAAATCATTTTTAGGACTTTTGAACTATTATGGTCAGTATATGTCGAATCTGTTGACCAAGTTGCAGCCTTTGCACGAGCTTTTGCGACAGGATAAGTCCTGGAACTGGACCTTACAGTGCGAGTGCGCGTTTCGGTCGTGTAAGGACCAGTTGTCAAGTGATCGCATGTTGGTTCATTACGACATGAACAAGCCGCTACGGTTAGCGTGCGATGCATCTGCTTATGGGGTCGGAGCTGTGATCTCCCACATTTGTGACAACGGAGAGGAGCGTCCCATTGCATACGCGTCACGAACTCTATCGGCGAGTGAAAAGAATTACGCTCAGGTGGAGAAGGAAGCGTTGGGTCTGGTGTTCGGTGTCCGGAAGTTTCACAAGTATTTGTATGGGCGTCACTTCACAAGGATGCAGTGATGGGCTCTTATATTGTCCGCGTATCAATACGATATTGAGTATCGGAGGGCCGAACATCATGCCAATGCAGACGCGTTTTCGCGGTTGCCTGTCAAAAGTGACGGGAAGTCGGAGGAATTGGAGGTCTACCACTTCACTCAGTTGAATGACTTACCAGTGACATCTGAGGACGTTGCGAAGGGGACGAGAGGTGATGTAGTGCTGTTGAAGGTACTTGACTATACACTGCGAGGTTGGCCTAATTATGTGTCAGATCGCGACCTGCAACCATTTCATCAGCGCAGGAATGAACTGTCTACTGAGCAGGGTTGTGTGTTGTGGGGTTTGCGTGTAATCATCCCACAAGCCTATCGTGAGCGTATTCTGGCCCAACTACATGAACAGCATGTTGGAATGAGCCGGATGAAATCTCTAGCCCGGAGTTATCTGTGGTGGCCTGGCCTGGATAAAGACATCGAAACAGTGGTCAGTGCCTTTAATGCATGTCAGGCTACGAGGAAAATGCCCCTGGTGGCACCCCTTCACTCCTGGTCATGGCCTACTCATGTTTGGCAGCGTGTCCACATAGACTTTGCGGAGAAAGACGAGATATTTTCTTGTGGTTGTGGACAGTCACTCTAAGTGGGTTGAGGTGACTAATATGACAACCACTACTCCTGAGAGGACTATCGAAGACCTTCGGTCACTCTTCAGTTCTTATGGCCTACCTGAAGAGGTTGTCTCTGATAATGGCCCCCAGTTTACCTCAACTGAGTTCGAACAGTTCATGAAACGGAACGGGGTCAAGCATACTCTAGTAACGCCCTATCACCCAGCTTCAAATGGAGCAGCGGAACGCTCAGTCCAAATCTTGAAACAAACGCTTCAAAAGTAGGTTTTTGATGGTGATGAACAATATACAATTCAGCATAGGCTCAGTAACTTCTTACTGAAGTATCGATCTACTCCACAGACTGTTACGGGTGTATCACCAGCTGAATTATTTCTTCAGCGTCAGCTACGCACACCTCTCTCGTTGTTGAAACCTGACACTGGAAATCGCGTTCAACGGAAGCAAGCTGAGCAGAACCGACAACATGACAAAGGGCGAGTTCGGGTTCGAACATTCTCACCGAAACAGACAGTGCGGGTGAGGAATTTCAGGGGTGGTCAGGAAAAGTGGATGCCAGGTACGATAGTGAGACAGCTAGGTCCTCATACTTATCTCGTACGGGTAGGACCAAACATTCGCTACACCCATGTTGGTCATATCTTATCGTCAGAGGAGGAATCATTATTTGACGATTTATCCGTGGTGTCTAATTCGGGTTCAAACCAGTCGCAAGTGGATACACCCGTGGTACTACCAGAGACGTTCTCGCGTTCTCCAATACCGTCTAAGGAACCTGAAACACTTAAGGTGCCCATCTCTTTACCTGACGCCTCAGCAGTCGTAGCACCGATTCCAACTCCTCAGCTGGAATCGTCGACGAGTGACCTTCAGACACCCGTTGCGTCGAGCACTAGCCCGGTCGTTCGTCGTAATCCACCTAGGAACCGTCAGCCCCCACAAAAGTTGAATTTGTTTGTTGGCCATTAGCCATATCATTGACAGTGATAAGTGTTGGTGATTGAGATCTCTTTTAATTACAGTATTTGCAGTGAATGTTGAATTATCGTTTCTTTCAGTTCAGAAGACCAAAGACTGGTTAACAATAATCAACAGAGATTTTGTGTAATTTGAATATTGAACTTGACATTTTAAAGAGGGAGGAGTGTGATATATGGATCAATCCGGTACGTGTTACTGTAGGGTATTTAGTATAACCCTGAGCGTTAGCTCTTCTGTCGTGGAGGTTAATAAAAGCAGTTGTATCACCTGGACGCCATTTCTTATGAGTTGATTGTTCCACGTGGGTAGCAAACAAGATATTACAGTCACTGTCCGAATGGGCAATTGCATAAGTTTAATTATCATGGAAGCTACGCCCGTTCCGTCTAATAGTATATTTTACACCACATGCTCTACAAACCCTGAGCTACTGCACTCCTCGCCTATCACCAGTAATAATTAGCCTATTTAATTGATCTACTACAGAACCATGACTTAGCTACAGTGTCTTACTTCCCAATACAAATCCTACAGTAAGTTAATATATAAATATCAACACCTTATAACAGTCCTGCATTTTGCTGATATACAGTATAGGTCGGGAAAACCACAAAGTGGCGTATAATACTGAAATCATTTAAACAGTACCTTTTGCAATATGTTATTAAAAGTTGCATTGATTTACGACAAGGTAAATATATTTTTCACTAAAACTTGTTTACTGAATGTGCTGACCTGAACGTTATTGTAATGGTTCTCGATGTAGTAATTGTATTATCGAAACATAGACCATATAGACTAAAAATACTGCATCTATTTTCGTTTCTTTCCTACGTGCGAATAAATTTTAGTTTTGCCTTTGTATGGTGTTTCATGCCTAGATAAATGTGATTTCGGGGAAGAATTGAAAAACCTAAGGTTGAAGTGATTTCGGCTATCGTTAGCAGAGACGTCTCTGTCGTTAGTAACAAATCTATTACTCAATCAAAAGGTCAGTTTGCATATTTTACGCAAATTTGTGTCTCGGACCTCCGGGTAAAAGAATGAAAACACGAGGGAAAACACGACAAAAAGATATTTTCGATGTGTGGTCCCATGCTATGCTATTCATGCGACAACTTCAAAATAGATTCGTCAATTACATTTACATTTGAACTATGTTAGACTTTCTATAATTTTATAAACGTAGGCTGTGAATGTTCCTCGGATGGCCTTACAGTAATCTAATTATTATGTGGGAAACGGTTGAACGGTGACACCGGTTTAGAACACCTGTGAATGATTTTCTTTTTCGTCATACCGTTCCTGCAAGTTATAAGCCAAGTTGCCCCGTTGCTGGCCTCTTCAGATTTTGAGCACAAATGCGTTAGGCCTATAGGGCGAGAAAGTCTCGTAATGGCGTCCCTTCCGGGTCACGGACTGGATATATACAAACTGAACACGTGACTTTTCTACGCCATGTTTGACCGGCGGCAGATTTAATCGCAAATATTTAACAGCGTAATGTTGTGTTTTGTAACGGGATGCAATCACCAGAGTTTGAGAGAGACATGTAGCTGTTTTAGATTCCCTAAACCACGGGTAAAGCAGTGGGAGAAATTATGCAGGTTTGTAAACAAACAATCATGTTGAATGACTCATCAACGATCTATTGAACTAACTCTACGCATGTAGTACCTGAAACACGTCTCTAAGGCATCGCTTTATGATCAGCGAATCATTAAATTTAAATGCTTCTTATATCAATCAAATACAAACCTTAATACTTTAATTATTGTGTGATTGGAATTATGTGGAGTAATCCTGGAGTGGGCGTGGTAATTTTCCTACACAAAATCTGCCTTGGATCACATGGATACATCAATATCTCTTTTAGGAGGAGCGATAGGAAAGTAACTGATGCAGACCGAATCTGTAGCTTCCATTTTAAATATGGGAAGAAGGAGAATGGTCCCACTTTGTTTCCTTGGAACCAAGGGGAATATTTTGATTACCAAGATCCAAATAAAATTTCAAGGTGTCATAAAGAATTCACAATTAATTGCTATATTTCCATAAAAATGTCTGAAACATTAATTTTGAAATCGACTGGACAACAGACACGATAATACATCAGACCTTTCTTAAAAATTTGACAAATTATTTTAAGAAATAACAAAACACTTTTAAGATTGTGTTCTCTATGTTCATATTACACATGTATAACATGTACATCTTTATTATAATTCTTATTAACAGGTCTCATGCCTAATTTAATGTTAAATGTAGTAGCTGAACATTAACACAAATAATTGTTAATATGAGTTGAGTTCCTGGCTAGCATTAGTATTATACACCTCTGTAGTCAATGTAGTCTGATGAAGATAACAATGTTGAGTTATGAAAGAAGTTTTTTTAAAGTCAGATTTAAAACTAAGTTCAAAATAAATGTTTATCACAGGAAACCAAAAAGAGTGGACACTAGTTCAGCTGAGGTAGCGAGTACTTCTTGTACAGAAAATACTACTGTGGTTGGGGAGGAAGATCTGCATAAAGTGCCTAATGATCATGAATACCTGAGGTCATATTGGTCTCTTGTAGAAGAGATAAAGGTACATAAAGTGTATTTAGAAATCAAGAACCTGGTTAAGTTGAATGTCTTTCTTCATCCAATAACTTTTAACAAGTCTCCTTATTCTGTACATATTACACAAAGGATATGTTTGATAAGATCTTTTTTACATCAAGATAAAACAATATACTATTTGATACATGAAATTTGAAGTACATGCAAGCCTCGATGACATTCAAGTTATTTCTCCATTGTATTGTAATATAATAAAAATTCAATTTGCATTTTTTAATGTCTTGAATAATGTATTGTACAGGATGGTACCTGTAACATAATCAATGGTTTAATTCAGGAACTGCAAGTACATGTTACTGATCTTGAGAGAGAAATAGCAGATCTGAAGTCCAAGAAACACCCATTTACACTTGATCAAATAAAACATTTTAATCTTTTCTCACAAAATTTAATGAAATAAGATATTGATTTATTCTAATAAAACCTGATACATTTAAATGGAGTTACATCTTCGTATAAAATGAAAGATCTATTAAGTAATGAAACATCAAAATAGAGTTGCACCTTTTTGTTAAATGAAAGATCTATTAAGTAACAACCTGAAACTTTTTTACAAGATTTTACATAGAAATGCATTATCTGTAGATGCTGATGTACACATCACTGAAGGCAGAGAAATTTCTCATCATTGATGCAACATTGAAAAGATTTCCTCTAAACTATGAGGATGGATGGACCCCGATTTCCATCTCAAGATCAGACCAGCTCCTTATGTGCCTGATGAAACTGAAGATGAATACCCCTCTCCTTGACCTTGCTGAGCGCTTTTGCACGAGTAAATCAACAATACACAACATCCTGACCACACATATCTTTACTTTACATGAGGTTTTTTTTCAGGGTATGATGGAAAATAATATCCCTTCAGTACTTAAATGTAAAGCATCTATGCCTTCTAGTTTTGGGGATTTCAGTAGCTGTCGTCTAGTTATTGATGCCACTGAAGTGACACAAGATGTCCGTGGCCTTGATATGAAAGCCCAGTCCCAGACTTACAGCTCATACAAAAACCGACACACTGTAAAGTCTGTTACAGGTGTTGCTCCAAATGGAGCTGTAGGATATGTAAGTAAATTGTACCCTGGCAGCACATCTGATGTTGGCATTGTAGAGCACAGCAACATGCTTGCTCAGTTATCTCCAAGGGATATGATATTTGCAGATAAGCGCTTTACTATTTACCCTTTACTACCCCAAAGTGTCCTGAACATTCCACCGTTTTTAAAGGACAAAGGACAGTATACACCTGCAGAGGTCCAAGTGTGCCGGAAGATTGCTAGGTCGCGAATTCATGTAGAGAGAGTCAATGAGAGAATCAAAAACTTTGAAATTCTTTCCCACATACCTCAGCAGTTTAGACACATCAGTACAATTTTTTTTCAAGGGTGTTCATAGTTAGTTAAC